GACGCAAAACATTCGGTAGAATTTATAGAATATTGTAAAAATATATATATATATATATATGTGTGTGTGTGTGTGTGTGTGTGTGTGTGTGTGTGTGTGTGTGTGGATGTGTGGGTATACTATTTGATTTCAAAACAACATACAATAATAACATTTACAAATGATTAAAAGAGAATTATTTAAAAAGCTTCTTCGTATGAAATTTTACGAATAAAAGTGCGCGAAAACAAGAAGAGGTTGTGGTACCTGAAATGTGGACACATACGACGCACTTGTAAAAATATTCTGAACACCAAGACAACAAAAATACCAGCAACTGTCGGGCATATCTTAAACGCCTGGGGTTGGGTATGGTAACTGTGTATTTTGAGCATGTGGGTGCGATTGTTGACCGACGGAAAATTGTGGGGGTACTTGAGGGGGGTAAGGATACCCCTGACTTGGTTGTAAAGGATAGGGAGGGCCCTGGTTGAATTGAGGGGGGTATGGAGCAGCTTGGTTAAGTTGAGGAGGATAGGATGAATATGGAGGCGGGGGATATGATGGTGGCTGCTGCGTTGAAGGGTACGTAGGACAAGGACCACCCTGTGATGAGAGGGAATGTGGGGGAGGGAGTTGCGATGATGATGATGAAGATGGGACCGCTGGTTGCTGAGGTTGATGACCGGCTGAAGATGAGGCTGTGCTCTGCAGATAGGCCAACTGCATTTTTATAAATTTTTATATTTTAATGATTATTATTATTTAAATTACCTAATTATTATTATATAATTAATATTATTATTATCTAAATTATTTGATAATTTATACGATAGTAGTTTATAGAAGAACCTTCTGCTCGTCAACATCGGACCTAGGCTTGCCCGGTTCGATTTTGTTGGCCTGGTAATAAGAGACAACCTGGTCAGGCAGTTCTGCCAATACCTGCTTGGCCAGAGCTTCTTGTGAGGCCTGGTGGTCATGATGATGATGATGAGATGATGGTGGTCATGATGATGATGATGAGATGCTGGTGGTCGTGATGATGACGACGACGAATGTAGTTAGTCTATGGCAAGTGCAATTGATGACGAAATTGATGATTTTAATGATGACAGTGACAAAAAACAAAAAAAAAATTGAAAAACTTTCAAACAAACACGCTCAAAATTCCGGAATGGGACAAACTGAACAATATCCCTTTGAGCCACGCCACCCCACTGATCCCTGAGCAGTCCATCATCACTATCCAGCCTATCCATGGCGTCGAACTCTGCCTGCCCGACTCCCACGATGATGATTGACAGGGGTAGGGTGGAGTTTTTAACTATGGCTCTGACGGTGTTGCTCATGTCCGATATAACGCCATCCGTGATAATTAGTAAGACGTAGTACAACTGCTTGTGGACGTATGTGTGTGTTTGTTTAGGTTTGTGTGTGTATGTCTAGGTATGGGTGTGTGTGTATGTGCGTGTATATGTATGTGTATATATCTGTGTGTCAAAAACTTGCAAATATAACCGCAAAACATACATTCAAATTAAAGGCAAACAATAAAATCCATACAAAGCTCACACGAACGTACAGACGCACACACACACACACACACACAAAAACACACATACATATGATTGTCTTATGTTGTGAGCAATGGCCGCCAGACTTCCAATGTGCTCGATGATTGGGGTAAAATTTGTCGGGCCGTACAACTGCAGACGTGGCAAACTGGAATAATACGCCTCTAGGACCCCTTGAATGCCTAAATTAATTAAAAATTACGGATTAGGAATTAGATATATTATTATATTTAATTATGAATTATGTTACACCTATAATTAATAATAAGTCATCACTTAAATACAAAAAAAATCATTTCGTTAAAACATTATCACGCGACATAATCATCATTATTACTTCATGACCACATGATCAAGTGACGTCACTATCAAATCACATCGTCATCACTGACAACAAATCAATCAACTAGTCAACCAACCAATCAGCAAACCAACCAACCAAACAACCACCCAACCCACCAATCAACCAACCAGCCAATCAATCAATCCACCAACCAACCAACCATAACAATGTTCATGGGCCTCGTTAAATGTCAGTGGAAAACAATGTGAGACCTCCATGTGTGGTGGAATTCTCGCGCCGAATCCAAAACATGGAAACAGCTGATCACTGACGTATCATCATTAAATCAACATCATCATCGTTATTGACACCATCAACAACATCACTATCTGTACAACCATTGATATAATATCATTGAAATAGATATCATGCTAAACTGATATCTATTTTTTTAGATACTTAGGGTATGGATGTATAACATTTTGGAGAGGGGACACCAATTGTCATCAATTATTTGTCATTTTTAAAAACTACCAACTTATATATTTAGAATTTAACGGTGGATAAAATTCCACTGTTAAACTCATTATCTCAGCTAACATCATCATCACTATCACCATCATCATCATCACCATTACCAGCAATAGCGTAACTGACCTATCGTAATCTTTGATGACCTCACCAACCGACCTAATTGCCCTGACGTAATGATTAGGATACTGGGGGTGGAGGTAGTGGAGGGATTGGGGGCTCTGGGGATTTCCATTTGAGGCAGTAAAATCAATGGCTACCTGGTGAATAAAATAGCATGACTGAAAAAAAATTAATTTTGACCACCAAGTGAATAAAAAACGACAAGATTTTGGAGAGAGAGAGAGAGAGAGAGAGAGAGAGAGAGAAAATACGAAAAGTTTAAATTGTAATAAATAATAATAATGCCTAACACAGAATTTAAGATGCAGTCCTCCGAATACAAAGTCCAAAAACGAAAACTGCTTTGAAATCTTGAATTGCACGAATAAATTAATGAATTAAAGAATGAATGAATGAAAGATTGATTGAATGAATTAATAAATAAACAAATAAATAAATGAATGGACGGATGAATAAATGAATGAGAGAAAGAAAGAAACAAAAACAAGCAAATTATAACTTGGCATGAAAGTAAATGGATGGTGCCAGAATCTTTGTAGGATGATTTTTTTGCCTTCTTCTTTGGATTTACACAAGGCCACTGAATCTAAATAGCAATAATAATAATAATAATAATAATAATAATAATAAATAATAATAATAATAATAAATAAAAATTACGGGTTTAGTGGCGGCCGACATCAGTTCTTCCACCGATGTTTCAAAACTTCCAATGAAATCAGGGGATGAGTTAGAGTTGTAATCATAACAATCAACCTTTATTATTATTGTTATTATTGTTGTTGTTGTTTTTTTTTCAAATTTTTATCAAAAAGGTAAACATTAAGAGAATGAATGAATGGATGAATGAGTGAATGAATAAACGAATGAACGAATGAATGAATGAATGAATGAACGAACAAATGAATGAAATAATGAAATAATGAAATAATGAATGATTGAATGAATGAATGAATGAATGAATGAATGAATGAATGAATGAATGAATGAATGAATGAATGAATGAATGAATGGAGAAAAGGATGAGTAAGGTGAACAAACAAATCCAATGAAATATAAATGGATAGACAGATAGATGGATGATTAATTGGAGAAGTAGAGAGAGAGAGGTTCAATAGATTGAAAGATGGGTAAAAGAATGAAAGATAGACAAGTGAAAAAATAAACGAAAACCTTGACAGACTCTCTGTAATTTCCATTGCACAATCTCGACGTTGAAATCTGGAAAGGTTTCCAAACGGGGTCCAAGGTATTTTTTATGTACTGGGGTAGGTGAATGAATGAATGAATGAATGAATGAATGAATGAATGAATGAAAGAACGACTGAAAAATAAATGAATAAATAAACGAGAGAAAGAGCAAACCTCAGTTCTATGCACAACTTGGTAGCCTCCATCAAGCATTTTCTTATTAAACTCGAGAAATGGATCTGATAAGCCAAAAAAATCCTTTAAAGAGAAAAAATTAAATAACTAATGACATAAATAAAGGTATTCAATCTAGTCATCCAGGCAGTTATTCATTCATTCATTCATTCATTCTTTCCTTCTACCTTTTTATCAAGTGATGAGCCTGAAAATTTCATCAATAACAGATCTTTCTGTTTGCCTTGCTCTACTGCTCTCAACTGGAAAAAAATAAAAGATTATATAAAAATATAAAGAGAGAGAGAGAGAGAGAGAGAGAGAGAGAGAGAGAGAGAGAGAGCGAGAGCGAGGAGAGAGAAAACATACAATTATGGTTCCATTGCCTGCTCTCATTCCATTTTTCATCAGAGGATATACTAGAGGACTGTTTGATACCAGCTGATTGAATATAAAATAATTAATTAATAATTAATCAATTAATAATAATTAATTAATAAATAATTAATCAATATAGTCTATAAATATGTATTATAAATAGCATTATAAACATGTTTACATGTATGTAAGTTATTTTAGTTTTTAGTAAAAACTCTAGTTTTATCATTTTTAAATATTTTGTGAATAAATCTAAAAATAACTTACCTCCCCAAGTGTGCATTCAGTCTGCCCCAAGAAATCGTCATCATCGAGTTGGGGTGTTGTGTTGTCGATGTCGTAGACAGCAAATTTGATTTTCTGGACCTCTTCAAAGAAATAATCTACTGTGAAATTTTTTGAGAACTGTGGATTCAAATCATTTTTTATCTGTTCTGTTCTTCCGTGCTATTTAATTTAATGAGAGTGAGGAAAGTCAGTAATAAATTTTGAATTTGATTGTTAGTAAATTACTTTTATGTTAGGTTAGATTTATAATTAGTTTTGAATAGAAGTTATCTATTAAAATTAAAATTCTATTTGTATATCTATATATTTTTTAAGTTTTCCTTTCATATTGAAAGAGATCAGATTAATTAGAGCAACCAATATTTATAACTATACTCTAATTTATTCTGAAAAAACCTGGACTAACTTCGATCCAGCGGCCAGCGATGAAAATGTACAGAACGCAACAAGGGTCCGATTTGGAAAAAGTGTCCATGTTTAATAAATTGTGACACGATACAAAAATGTCGACTTTTGTGACAGGTTCTGCCGTTAATTTGTTTGCTAATCTGCTCGACATGGTTTCGCTTCTGATTGAGATAAATTATAAATATAATAAAAACGTGATTTAGTGTAATCAGGAAATTTTTTCTATTAGCCAACTAATTGTTTACATTTGAAATTAAATTGATGTTTTGCATTCAGTTCGGTGATCCTTCAACGATGATTTTGAAAAATGTATGAATAATTGAAATATAAATTTAAATACTTATATAAAAGTTAAATGTGCTAAATGAAAATACTGTAAAACAGAAAATTTTCATGATTTTTTGGAAGTTTTGTGTGAATAATGTTTTGTGACAAACTTATTTCTGTGACCCCTGTGACCGTAGTGAGCCAATGAAATCAAAGAATTGATACAGGGTAAAATAAGTTATAAGTTAATTTTCAATAAAATTATAAATTTTTTTTATCATTACATTTATAAATATACATTTATTATTAATAAATAAAAAAATAATTGTTATAAAATTTATAAACTTAAAAAAATTACACTTTAAAAAAGATTTCATTCTCGTACAACTCAACATATCATTGTAACGCTACGATGCTTCAGCAGCTTAACCAGCCAATCAGTGAGAAAATCTCGTTGTATTAATGCGCCGTTTTAATGGTTGCTCGTGTTTTTGTGATAGTAAGAGTGGGCTCCGACATTACGTGCTCGCTCAGTCAGGGTTAGGGTAAAAATATTTTTTTATTTCCCCACTTATTTATAATCTTTTGTTCATCCCAGACCCGCACAACACTGAAATTTGGATTTACAATTCACTGATTTATTGATCAAAAGTTAAATTTTTTAAATTTTATGATACTCGATCGTCTTTGTGGTGAAATTTAATTAATTATCGCGTATTTTGGATTTCTCGTCTGTTGATGGACTGATTTTGCGACAAAAAGGTAACTTTGGTTCATTTTTTCAATTGATGAATTTAGTTTAGTTAGTGATTTATTTATTTACCTTAGGAGTTGATATTCTGTTTTACTTTTATTGTCGCCTACCTGTGTTCTGGTCTCAATTTTTTTTCTTTAATTAAATGATATAAAAACCGGTTTGAGTTGTGTTTCGGGGTTTTTTTTTAAACTTAAAAGTTAGTACTTTTAATTTTTTCTTTGTTTGGTGCTTTGTGGTGATTTTGTATAATTTTAGTGTGTTGTACTTGTGCTGTTTATTTATTATTTACTGTTAAATTTTTACTACTAACCAATCTTTAATAATGTCTAACAATGCTAATGGTTGACTGAGACTGAGTTTGCTAGTACTAACAGGAATAGTTGGATGATGTTTTGAAAAAATCATTTATTAAATATTTTAAAAATAAAATTCTACAGCATACCATGAACAACAGTGAAAATAACCAAACAACATCTTCAAGTCAACAAACTGTGATAGGAGCTAATGTGAATAGTTCTATGCAAAATAACAATCAACCAGTGCAGCAGGGAGTTCGTTTTCAAGCGGGAGGCCAGGTTCGATACGTGTCAGTGAGTGATCTCAATGCCTTAAAAGGTATAATAGCTCCAGGATCAGCTGTTCAGCTTTCCACAAATCGATTAGTTACACCTGCTAATGTGAACAACAATGCAAACGTAGTGACTCGGCTTGTGGGTGCACCCAATCAACAATTTCAACTTCAAAATTCCAATTCAAGCCAAATGATTCAAATCGTCGGACCAGGTTCAAGCTCATTACAAAGATTACCTCAGGCACATCAAGTGCAAGTAGCTCAGTTGCAGCAGCAACAGCAAGTTTCTGGCAACACATTCCAGTTTGTAAACAACAACGTTGCTCAGGTCTTGAGACCAAATTCATCAACTATACAAATTGTGCAAGGTCAGATTCCGCAGCAGCCACAGCAGCAACAACAGTTGATACAGTTGAATTCAGGTCAAACGATTCAACTAGTCAACACATCCATGAGTGGGAAGCAGCAAGATGGCGGGCAAATGTTACAAATCATAAATCCTGGAAATGTTGTTCAACAACTTCAACAGCAGCAGCAACTACAACAACAACCTCAACAACAACTGGCTCAAATGTTAAGCGTATCTGGAACGAATCAAGTTCTTAGGCTTCCCCTTATTAGGCCTGGTGGTTCGGGGCAGCAAATTGTATTGAATAACAACGCCATCCAAACGTTATTGGCCAACAGCAATAGCAACATTGCGGCAAATGTTCAGCAGATTGTTGCAGCAAACAATGCTCAACAAGTGGCTAGGAATTCAGGTGGCATAACACTAAACGTTCCTCGACAGCAACTCGTTCAACTTGCAGCCAACAACAACAACATCATTAGGCTGAGTAATGGAAGTAGTATAGACATGAATACCCAACAACAACAACAACAACTGATAGCTTTGCAGCAAGTAGGACAACAAAAAAAACTAATACTTTCCAACAATGGAACAGCTTCAGTTGTAGGTGGCACTGCTGCCAATACGGCTACAACAATTAGGATGCCACAGCAGTTACTAGCTGCCCAGCCACAGCCACAAGTACAGCAACAAATGTTAGCCGGCAATCAGATTAGATGTGTAACAGTTAAAGGAATCCCAGCAAATACACTACCTCAGCCAAAACCAATTTTAGGTTCTCAGACTGGTGTGCAACAGCCACAGCAGCAGCAGCAGCAGTTGACATTTTCAATCTTAGCCACACAATCTCAAGATCAACCTGCCCAGCCTAAAGTCATAACAACTACTCAGAAAGATTTGCAGAGTTTTCTGCACAGGTACAAAGAACAGCAGATGAAAGCGATAATAGTGAACAACAACAACAACGTCAACCTCGATGCAACATCAAATGCAACATCCACGAATGTCCAACAACAACAACAAACCCACAAGTTCATACTGCAGTCTGGTTCCAATCCCAATGTCAAACAGACTGCCATACAACTGGTGGGCGATAAACATTCAATCAATTTATTTGTTGGTCATCCATTCAAGCATTCATTCTTCCAATCAATTGATCCATCAACATAAATAAGATTTTTCAATCAAACGATTTAATTTAGTTTTGTTCACTTTGAATTTAAATCAATTAAACCGAACGACGACAGGTGGACAACAGAGCAGGAGTAGGAGTGGGAGCAAGTTCCCAGCAAAACTCGACGATATTCATCCTTACAAACACGTCATCTGGTCCAACCTTCACACCAATCAACAACAACAACAACAGCATTCTCAACAACAACAACAACCCCGCAAATGCTACCACAGCTCTTCTAAATCGACAGAAAGTGCTGGCAGCCAGACCGGGAGGTGGTTTGACGATACAGAAAGCCCCTGGAACAGTCACAAATTCTCTGGTCATAACTCCAAACAGGGCTGCTCTGAAATCTAATAAGATAATGGAACAGGCTGTAGCAAAGGCACAGGTTTGTCTGCCTGATGGGATTGTTTTGTTGTGTGTTTGTACGTGCGTTTGTGTGAGTGAGTGATTGTTTTGTGGTGTGTGTGATTAATTATTTTGTTATGTGCGTGCGCGTGCGTGTATGAGTGAGTGATTGTTTTGTTGTGTGTGCGCGCGCGCGTGTGTGTAATTGCTTTGTTGTGTGTGTGTGCGTGTGCGGGTGTGAATGATTATTTTGTTGTGCATGTGATTGTGTGTGTGCGTGCGCGTACCTGAATGATTATTTTGTTGTGCATGTGATTGTGTGTGTGTGTGTGCGTGCGTGTGTGTGAATAATTATTTTGTATTTTGTTGTGCATGTGATTGTGTGTGAGTTTGTGTGTGTGTGTGTGTGTGCGCGCGCGTGTGTGAGTGTGTGTGATAATCTTTGGGAGGCCCATAATTTTTCATTTCATTGATGTTTGCATGTACTACACTCTCTACAGGCTGGTGGCATTGAGATAGAGATAACAGAATCCGATGGAAAGAAGAAGTGGAAGAGAAAAGTTGACAATGGTGAGAATGTTTTTTTGGAGATCACATTAAAGAAATTAATAATGTGGATGGTTAAATATTTTATAAATGAAAGAATGTCCATGAGAGAATAATTTAAAATGTGTTAAATACTAAGAGAGTGTGGTATTTTAGATGAGTATTGTTATAGCAATTTCATTTCAAATTCGTTTCAATTTAATTTCATTTTTCAGAAACTGGATCAGACTCAACAGCTGCAACAGTGGGATCGTCAAAACGACGAAAACAAGATCCCAAATCAAAACTCCTGGCTGGATCGGCCGAGGACACAATGGATGGCGAGGTAGATGAATCCCTATTGGGCACACCGGGAGATAGTGAAGGTCGGGCCAAGGATCCTGAAAGAATCAACAATATGAAGGCGTTTTCTAGGTCGCTTAAGAAGAAAAAGAGGTTGGCATTATTATTTTCAGTTGCTTTTATTTATAATTATTTGCTTTCTTGTTGTTTGACTGTAAAAAAAATGTCAAATTTCAATATAAAAATTCAACTCTTTCAGAAAAAGAGTAAATTTTAATAATGTTTAGTATTTACATTAGATGTTTCATACATTTACTAGGCCACCAGCATCTTTCATGAGAAGGAAGAAGAAGAAGAAAGATGAAAACGAATCCGATATTTCTGATTCTGGAGTCATTGCAACTCCCAATCCCAGCTCTCCATTCCTTGACAACAATGAGGATAGCATCACTAATGTAACTTTTTTGTCCCTGTCGTTTTTGTTTTGTTTTGTACGGTTTTTTTGTCTTTGTTTAGTGATGTGCTGTTTTTTTTACTGATATATTTGATTTAGATTCTTCTGATAACTACTTCTTACAATAAATAATTTTACAAATTTTATAACATTCTAAAAATTTTCATGTTTTCTTTTTTGTTGTTGTTGAAGACAAGAAGATCAGGGAGAGTAGCACAAAGGAAGAAGTATGTTGACGAGGTTGACCTGGACTTTTCAGATGCCGACAGTAACGATGATTATGTCTCTAAAAAACCACGCCAACGTAATGCGGCGAGGCCGGCGACCGCTAATACGACGACTGTAGCTGCTTCTAATACTATTCCACTTAGTGTCGAGAAGAGTCAGGATTCTCAGGACAATTTATCCGTAGTTCCTGAGTTTGTGGAGGTATGTTAGTTTATGTATGTTCTCTTATGGGATTGTTTGTTTGTTTTGTTTGCTTGCTTGTGTATGTATGTTTGTTTGTTTGTATATGCTTGGTTTTATAGTGTATTTATTTGGGATTCATAATCATGAAATATTTCTCATCAATTCCAAACAGGAGGTTCAAACTGAGGATGACACGTCAACGCTGATCGTCGATAAAGTTCTCGGTGTGAGAGTAACGAAGAAAACGCAGGTGAATTTGTTTTTATTTCACCTTCCTGCTATCACTCTAGTACATGAAATTATACTGAGGTGTCATATTTTTTTCTAACAATTATCATAATTATGATATTTTATTTATAAATTATGATCATAATATCTGTATAATTATTTATAGGGGTCATTGGATGCTGACCATGTCGTTAATGGTAGTGGTGGTGGTGGCAATGATAGTAATGATTCTAAGAAGTTGATTGAGGTGGAGGAGTTCTTTGTTAAATATAAGAACTAGTTAGTCTTGTTTTTTTCAATTCTCGCCATTGTTGTTGTTGTCGTTGTTGTTGTTGAATATTTTCTGTGGGGAATTAAGGGTTAGATTGGTGAATAAATGAATGAATGAATCAATAGGCAGATGTATAATTGGGTAGCTAGCTTGATTGATTGATTGATTGATCGATTGATTGATTGATGACTCAATGATTTTTAAGCATTACCCACATAACAAATAACCTGTCAAATACAGCTCCTACCTCCACTGCGAATGGAAGACCTCCGATGAATTATTCCTCGGTGACAAGAGGGTCCTCTCAAAAATAAAAAGATTCAAATTGAAAAAAGCTTACCAGCCACTCAATCAAGAAATGGTCCGTTTCGTTACCCGTTATAATTATAATTTATATTATGGTTTATATTATTAATATAATTATTTATTAATAATTATGATAGGATGAAGAAGACCTCTTCAACCCAGATTACGTTGAAGTGGATAGGGTGCTTGACATGGCCACCACCATTGAACCATCCAGTGAAAGTGACACTGAACAGGTCTGTCTGGTCCTTTCTTTGTTTCTATGTATCTCGTTCATTCTCTTTCCGTCTGTTTCTTTGTCTGTCTGCTTGTACGGTTTTGTTTCTGATGGGTCTGTCCGTCTTTTGCTTTCTTTTGCTGTCTAATGTTTATATTTTGAATGCAGCAAGTGACACATTACCTCGTGACCTGGAGGTCATTGCCCTATGAGGATGCTACCTGGGAACTGGAAGCGGATGTCGACCCGAGCAAGATTGAGGCCTACTTGAAGCGGAAGGATAGGCCCAGCGATGAGTTATGCAAGGTTGCTGACTTGTAGAGTGTTTGATAATGCAGATTTGGCGTGATGATCTTGTGGAGAGAGTGATGCTAATGTGATTGGATTCGTATCATATTTGTTGTTGTTTTTCTTCAATATCATATTTGTCATCATTATCTTGTAATGAATACACTCACTATCTTCAACATCACACATTCGTAATCATTGTGATTGAGTGATTGGTATAATTTTCTTGCAGTACAAGCCAAGGCCAAGTTCAAAGGAGTGGAGTTCTATTGAGGAGAGTAAGTCGTACAAGAATGGAAACACGCTGAGAGAGTATCAACTGGAGGGACTCAACTGGCTGACGTTCAGTTATTACAATAAGTAAGTGGCCGTTTTGGTTGTTTCATTGGTTGGTTAGTTGATGGATTGGTTGGTTGGTTGATTGATTGATTGATTGATTGATTGATTGATTGATTGGTTTGGTTGATTGATCAATTGATTGATTGGTTTTGTTGTTCTATTTGTTGTTTTTTTTTGTTGCATGTGCACATGCTTGTTGTTAGTACTTAACATTTTCATAACTTGAAAGATAGGTAGCATTACTAAACTGATTAATATTTCTGTCGATGAATAATTTAAATTGCTAAAACTAATAGGCAAAATTGCATACTGGCTGATGAGATGGGTCTAGGCAAGACAATACAAAGCATCTCATTTCTACAGGAAGTTTTTGATTATGGAATCAGGTTGGTCATCTTTTGTAAATGTGTCTGTTTGTTTTTTTTTCCGAGTTTATTAGTTCATTGTTTTGCATACTGGTATTAAATACTATTTTCGTTACAGCAGTTATTTAGCTTAATTTCACTTTTCACTAATCACTAATTAGGGGTCCATTTTTGGTCGTGGTACCACTCTCGACGATTGGAAATTGGCAGAGAGAGTTCGAGGGCTGGACGAATCTCAATGTCATCGTCTACCACGGCTCACAAGCTAGTAGAAACATGCTGCAACAGTATGAGATGTACTACTTTAACGATAAGGTTGGTTGTGATTTGCGGGAGTTTGTGATCGGTTGGTTGATCGATTTGCTGATTGATTGGCTGGCTGGTTGGTTAGTTGGTTGGTTGATTGATTGGTTTATATTTGTTATTATATCAGGGCAGCAGGTTAACGAGCATCTGCAAGTTCCACGCCCTGGTCACTACGTTTGAGTGCGTCATATCCGACTTTGATGAATTGAGTCAGATTGATTGGAGGGTGGCCATCATTGACGAGGCGCACAGGCTCAAGAATAGAAATTGTAAACTTCTGCAGGGGTTGTCCTGCTTTGATCTGGTTAGTGTTCTATGGCTCTATTTTTTAAATTGATAATTGAGATGATGATAGATGGATGGATGGATGGATGGATGGATGGATGGATAGATAGATAGATAGATAGATAGATAGATAGATAGATTCTGTATCTAAACAATTAAAAAATACTTGTTGGTTACAAATTTATCTCAAAAACAGGAACATAGGGTGCTGCTGACAGGCACACCACTGCAGAACAATGTGGATGAGTTGTTTAGTTTGCTCAGCTTCCTTGAGCCCAAACAGTTCAGCTCTGCTGATGCTTTCATGGCTGAATTTGGAAGGCTAGAGACTGAATCGCAAGTTGATAAGTTGAAAGCTGTAAGTTATTTTTTTTTACTTGTTGTGGTTTAGATATTTTTTTCGAGAACATTTTGTAATCATTCACCTATTAAGTTATTTCATTTGAAAATTAGTAGTTTAGTTGAAATGATTTTAAGAATCATGCTGATTCAATGAAACAATTTTTTTGCACAGCTCTTAAAACCTATGATGTTGAGGAGGTTGAAGGAAGATGTCGAGAAGAATCTGGCGCCAAAAGAAGAAACAATAGTGGAAGTGGAGCTGACAAACATTCAGAAAAAGTACTACAGAGCCATCCTTGAAAGGAACTTTTTCTTTCTAGCCAAGGGTTCCAATTCAGCAAACGTCCCAAATCTGATGAACACAATGATGGAGCTGAGAAAGTGCTGCAACCATCCCTATCTCGTCAATGGTTACTTGACTTGTTTCTTTTTCACTTATTTCTTATTCGCTTACAACTTGAGAAATTATTTTAGCATGATGTTAAAAAGTTATTATATGATTCAATGAAATGTTTGTGGAAGTAAAATTCCGACAATCCCTCATTGCGACGTGAAAATAATGCCACAAAAGGTGCTGAAGAGCAAATATTGAGCGAGTTGAATGTGCAAAGAGGTGATCTCGAGCGACACTACCAGGCTTTAATAACATCTTCGGGCAAGCTCGTCCTAGTTGACAAATTGCTACCAAAACTGAAGGCAAACGGACACAAGGTGTTAATCTTCTCCCAGATGATTCGAGTTCTTGACATTCTAGAGGATTATCTCATACACAGGAAGTATGTTACTACGTTCATGTTCTGTTCGTTATTGCTGCCTGGCTTTTTGGTTCATGGATGGCCGGGTTTGTGTGCTTGTCAAAATTTCAATTTTCCCCCACTTTCAATCAAACAGGTACCCGTATGAGAGGATTGATGGACGAATTAGAGGCAACCTCAGACAAGAGGCCATAGATAGATTCAGCAAGCCAGAGTCAGATAGATTTGTGTTCTTATTGTGCACCAGAGCTGGTGGCCTGGGCATCAACCTCACGGCTGCAGACACCGTTATCATATTTGATTCTGATTGGAATCCGCAGAATGATTTGCAGGTATTTTATGAAAAGTTTTTCAATTTCTTTGTTACCTTTTAAAAAATGTCATCATTTTCTTTGTCATTATCTTATTCGTCATCTTTCTCCGCTTTTTTTATCATCATCTTCATCGTCATCATTCTCATCACTACTACAGGCTCAAGCTCGTTGCCACAGGATTGGCCAGATGAAGTCAGTGAAAGTGTACAGGCTGATAACGCGCAACACGTACGAGAGAGAGATGTTTGATAAGGCCTCACTCAAACTCGGTCTCGATAAGGCAGTCCTTCAGTCTATTGGTAGCAAGGAAATGAATGTTGTAAGTTTGTTTGTTTGTTTGTTTGGTTGCTTGTTCGTTTGTTTGGTAGGTTGATTTAGTTGGCAGATTGTCTCTTCGTTTGTCGATCTTTGTTCGTTTGTTTCGCTTTGTATATCTATCCGTTTGTTTGATAAGATATCAATTTATTTGTATCATCGCAGCAAAACCAGCTATCGAAGAAGGAGATAGAGGATTTGTTGAAGAGAGGTGCCTACGGTGCCCTCATGGAAGAGGATAATGCCGGTGAAAAGTTCTGTGAAGAGGACATTGAACAGATACTACAGAGGCGAACTCAAGTTTGTTGCTATGGTGATGATGATATAGATGTTATATAGATGATGGCGGTGGGTGATAATTATGCAAATGATGATATAGATGATACGTAGATATAGATGATGAAGTCTAAAGAATGGAGCTGATACGTAGATGATGATGTCTAGAGGATGAGGGTGATATGTAGGTAGATATAAAGGACAATGTTTGGATTTAGGATCGTGTTTGTGAGAAATCTGGCAATCATTAACGTGATTGTTGATTCAAATTTTTAACGATGGATGACTGCAATCATGCTGAACTAATGATAGCTACTGAATAAATAACATTTACATCTGATGAGCTCACTTTGTTTTTTAAAAAAAAAGTAAAAAAAAACAAACGAATAATCTTTCTTTACCTAATTAGGTAATTCAGATAGAATCGGGCGCGAAGGGATCCACCTTCGCCAAGGCCAGCTTCAACATGTCTTCCAACAGGACAGATATCGACATTGATGATCCAAATTTCTGGCAAAAGTGGGCCAAGAAAGCAGAGGTGGATGTGGAAAATAACAAAGGAAAGGTTATAAGGGATTACTAGAAAAATTAATTTCAGAAGTTTTTGCCAAACTATTTTAACTATACAAACTATTTCTATTGATAGGAAGCAAGTTGTAGTAAGTACTCAACTTATTTAACTCCCATATTTCCAAACTAACCTCGCCAACCTACCAACGTCTCTCACAGACAAATCTTATAATGGACGTGCCGAGGCAGCGTAAGACGACGAGTCGCTACGGTCGGCAAGACAACATCGTCAACATGTCTGATCTGGATTCGAGTAACTCGGACACCGACAACAACAATAACGACGATGAGGAGATGTTTCAGGACGACTCGGATGGTGGTGGGGCCGGAGGAGGTCGAAGGTCAGGGAGGAAGAAGAAGAAGGGTGGAAAATGGAGTCGGGACGATGGGAAAGGTGCCAGGTCATATACTAGGTCCGATTGCTTCAAAGTTGAGAAGACCCTTCTCATATTTGGGTCAGTTTTTTTATAGTTTTTTTTTTAATTTTATATTTGTACATACACACACACACACATACATACATACATATTGGCACATACATGCACACACACATACATACATACACATTAACACATACATGCATACGCACAAATAGATGGGGAAGATGGAAGGATATACTTAGACATGGAAGATTTAAACACAAGTTAAGCGTTGAAGATGTTATCACAATCACCAGAGCTATGGTTGGTAAAATACAATTTTTGTATAATTATTATTAGTAGTAGTAGTAATAGTTTATGCTGTTGTATAATTAGTATGTTGTTGTACAATTAGTATGTTGTTGTATGATTAGTATGTTGTTGTGTGATTAGTCCTACCTCGGGGAACCGGGTCTCTGGACGCAAAACGAAGATTGATTAATTGATTGTTGTGTGATTAGTATGTTGTCGTACAATTAGTATGTTGTTGTGCAATTAGTATGTTGTTGTACAATTAGTTTGTTGTTGTACAATTAGTATGTTGTTGCACAATTAGTATGATCATCATGGTTGCTAGATGTGGTTATAACTTATGTAGTGTAAATAAAAGTATTGTATTAAATAATTAAAGTTCTCCACATCATTTTTAGTGATTTTTATTTATTTAATGATATATTTTGGTGAGTTTATTAATTTTTTTTTTCTAAATTGTACAGCTGATGTTCAGCCTGTACCATTATGAGGGTGATGAGAAGATAAAAAAGTTCATATTCGACCTTATATCTCCGTCTGAAGATGGGCTTGAAAAGGATTATAAGAATCACTCAGGTACTTTTTTTGATGTTGTATTCTTTAGTGTGTGGTATTGTATCGTGTATTTTGTTGTATGGGTTGTGTTGTGTTGTATTGTGTTATATCGTTAGCCACTTGCAGTTATGTTCGTTGCTATTTGTTGTTGTTGTATAGAATTTTCAGCCGATCATATGCTGTTTATTATGCTCTTAGTTTTTAAATTTAGACTACTATATTTTTTATTTGGATATCAGTCAACCATCCCAAAACATCAACCAATTGATAAACAACGCCAAAAACTCAACCAATCACCGTCGTCATTCATTTCAGGGCTCTCGGCCCCAGTGCCCCGGGGTCGTAAGGGCAAGAAGTACAAGAAGGATGGCAACAAGAGGACACAGTTGGACGACGACCTGCTCAAGTTGGATATTGACGTCGATGGCATACTGGTTGATGAGAGTTATCGAAAACATCTTAAGAGGCAGTCTAACAAGTGTGTGCCTGCCTGATTGACTGATTGGTTAATTTATCGGTGATTGGTTGATGATTGATTGATTGATTGATTGATTGATGAGTGAAAAGATAGATAGATAGATAGATAGATAGATAGATAGATAGATAGATAGATAGATAGATAGACAGATAGATAGACAGATAGATAGACAGATAGATAGACAGATAGATAGACAGATAGATAGATAGATAGAATTCATGCACAGAGATTTGTTTGATTTTACTGATATAATGTAAACTTAGCGAAAATACTTTCAAGGGTCCTGTTGCGTGTAAGACTGCTGTACTACCTGAAGACTGAGATAATTGGAAGATACACTGAACAGATTTTGAGTGGTGCTCACGTCGGGTTAGACCTGTCAATCATTTTTTTATACATCCTTACAATTTTTGACCTGCTAGTTTCTGCTTTGTTTCTATATCAATTCACCTAATTCCATTTTGTGTCCCTAATTCACTAATTTTTAATAATCCAAAAAATTTCCCCACCAACCACCAGTGAGATATCAATCCCGATAATGTGTGCAGACGTAGATCAGCCTGTTTTCTGGTGGGACCGGGAGGCGGACAAGAGCCTTCTGGTCGGAGTCTACAAGCACGGCTACGAAAAGTACAATCAAATTAGGCAGGACCCCTGCCTCTGCTTCCTCAAGAGGTGTGGGCCTCCGGATGATAAGGCCCTATTGGCTGAACAGAATTCTGATGGGGAGGAGCCCAAGTGGGTTTTTGCGAGATTGCGAATTTGTGGCGTCTATGTTTGCGTTAAGGTTTTTTTGTGATTTTTAAAATTGAATTTAACATTCGCACACTTCATTCTCAGAGAGGAAGAGGACGAGGATGATATGAGGCCGAAGAAGAGAGGTAGAAGGAAGAAGAAAATGAAAAAGAAGCTGACCAATGATGACGACGACGATTACGTTTCATATGATTACAAAGGAAGTGTCAAGGCTGGTGGAGGTAGGTGGTCATGGTTACAATGATGATGGTGATGGTGATCGTGTCAATATCGATGATCGTGGTTTAACATAGTGATAACGATCGTGAGAGAGTGATATTTTAAATTTAAACTTTAAGTAAAACTTTTTTATCAAACAGCCCTTGAAAATGGTAAGCTACCTTTCCCTAGTGCTTCTGATCTGAACACTAGGTTCAGGAGAATTATTACCAGCTTCCAAAGGTGTCACAAGCAGGGCATGCTTAAATTGGAACAAGTTGCTAAGGTAACTGTGTGTGTGTGTGTGTGTGTGTGCGTGGGTTTGTTATTTATTATATGTATTGATAATATTTTAAATGATGTTTTGTCTCGCCTGTTCAGAAGCTGCACAGACGTGAGCAGCTGAAGGATCAGCGCGAAGGAGCGGACGTTCATTACGTAAGTCCCAATCATCTCAAATCTGTCAGACTGGAAAGTGTCGGGGATAACCCACTCAGGCTTGCTGAACAACTGTAAGTTTTTTGCTCATATTTTTTCTACCTTCTCCTCTATTCTGTACTTTATGCCTGGTGTATTCAACTAAAATGGTAAACTACCTTTATCTACTCATCTCTGTTACTTTCTCTCAAAATTTAGAAACTGGACGAGAAGAGAGGAGACGGAATTCTACCGGGTCGTGTCGACGTACGGGGTGGAGAGGGACGTGACAGGGACGTACATCTGGGATACATTCAGGACACTGGCGAGACTCGATCGCAAGAATGACGACACGCTGACTGAATACTTCAAGGCTTTCTACCACATGTGCATGCGTGTCTGCCATAGACTTCAATCTGAAGATGAGTGTGAGTACATATTCTTCGGCCTACTGTTACGTTGTAATTGTATTTGTGTCTAATGTAATTTTCTTTGGTTTAATTAGAATTTTCATTAGATTGAATGATGTGTCAACTTTTTCTCCAAATAATCACACTAACTTGCGACAAATTGTTCACAAATCCCTCTAGCTCGTCCGCCGAACAATATGTACGTCACCTCAATAACTGAGGAGCGTGCAAATCGAAGTCTAGCTCGGATAGATCTACTAAATAAGATTAGGGAGCAGATAATATTCCACCCCCAGCTAGATGAGAAGCTGTTGCTATGTCAGCCTAGCTCCTATCTGCCTGACTGGTGGATTTGTGGACAGCATGATAGAGATCTTCTAATTGGTGCCGCTAAGTTAGTGTTTGTGTGTGTGTGTGTGTGTGGGCTGTGTATGTGTGGGATGTGTGTGTGTTGTTTTCGGTTTTCACTTGCACTGCACTCTATAAACCTTCCTCGCCTCGCCTCACCTCACATCACAGGCATGGCGTATCAAGGACTGAAGTTAACATACAGTTCGATCCGAATCTCTCGTTCAGGAAGTACGCTGAAGCCGCTAATAATAGTAACAATAATAACAACAACAACGATGATGATAACGAAAAGGATGAGAAAAATATCAATAGAGGTATTTTGTTTATTTATTTTTATACCATTTTATACCATGTGTGTGGAAACATAATGGAGGGGTTGTTATTTGAGATTTTGTATGCAGATGATTTAGTCTTGATGGCTGATAGCATGGAAGAATTGCAGTTAAAATTTGACAGATGGAAAAGTGTTATTGAAAAGAAAGGGTTGAAAGTTAATATTGGTAAGACGAAGGTAATGGTGAGTGGGGAAGGTGGGGAGCGAGTGATAAGTAAAATAGACCCCTGTGGGGTATGTGATAGGAGAGTGAAAGCTAACTCGGTATTGTGTATAGGATGTCAGAAATGGGTGCATAAGAGATGTAGTGGTGTGAGGGGGGCGCTGAAAAAGGTGGAAGGCACGTTCAAATGTAAGAAATGTGTTCATGGTGTGATTAATAGGACGGACGCAAGGACGGGGTTGAGTGGTGGTATTGAAAGAGTGGAAAGCTTTGTTTACTTAGGGGATAAGCTGAACGCGGATGGAGGATGTTTGAGCGCAGTTACGGCTAGAGTTCGTGTAGGATGGATGAAATTTAGGGAACTGGGTGGGGTATTGTGTGGAAAAAAATGGTCAGTGAAGATGAAAGGGAGGATATATAAAGCATGAGTGAGAGCAGCGATGGTATATGGTGGTGAAACTTGGGTGTTGAGGAGAGAGGAGGAAAGTGTACTGCAGAGGGCTGAAAGAGCTATGGTGAGGATGATGTGTGGGGTTAAAGTGAAGGATAGGAGGAGTAGTACAGAGCTGATGTCAATGATGGGACTGAATGAGGACATTGTGACATTGATAAGGAGATCGAGATTGCGGTGGTATGGACATTTGTTGAGAAGGGATGAAAGGGTCGGGATTAGGCGAGCGTTGGAGTTCGAGGTTGAAGGAGTGGTAGGAAGGGGTCGTCCGCGATTGGGATGGAGAGAGCAGGTGGAGAAGGACCGGGTGAAAGCGGGGTTGCGTGATACTGAGGCGAGTGACAGATGTGGATGGCGTCGAGGGGTATTTCGGTTTCATCATAGGTAGCCAAACGGCAACCCCCGATCTCGGGGGAAAATGTCGTCTAAACGTGTGTTGTTGTTATTTTTATACTATTTGTTGTCTTTGGCTCTTTATTTTCTCTGTTTTATCATTTCTTTTGTATCCCTTGTTGTTTATAACTCTCTCTTTCTCTCTCTCTCTCTCTCTCTCTCTCTCTCTTGTCTATCTTTTTTCTATTGTTTTTGAATGATAATAATAATAACAACAGGTTCAAACCCCGGGTCGCCCACAGATTACAACGACCTCATGAAGAAAGAGGTCAAGGTCAAGGTTAAGAAGGAGGGGGAAAGAGATGATGCCGACGATGATGGGAATGATGCTGGTAACAATGACAACAACGATGGTGATGGTGGTGATGACGTTCTCACTGGAGACTGCACTGAAGTCAAGGAAGAGATAGTTGCTGGAGATGATGATGCAAAGGGAGAGGGCAATGATGATGCCAAGGATTTGACGAATGGCGTGAAGGTGTGTGTTTTTGTTGATGATAATAGTTATGAAAATTATAAATAATAATTATAAAAATTATAAATAATAATAAAAATTATAATTAATTATAAAAATTATAAGTAATAATAAAAATTAAAAATAATAATTATTAATCATTGTTTTGTATGATATTTTTGTTTTAACTAATGAAGGGAGGTGACGATGAAGTGATTGGATCTCGTCCACATAATGGCTGGCCAAAGGTGACTTATTTATTTCATTCATTCATTCATTTATCCATTCACCATTCATGTATTCGTTTATTTGTTCGTTCATTCATTCATTCATTCATCTGTCTTGTACAATTTCCCAAACCCAGGACCGCCTGATATTCCATCGCCTGGAGAACATATGCTACTGCGTCGAAGTCGGTAGATGGCGCATGAATCACCGGCACCATCATCAGCATCACTATCATCACCAGGCCCCCTATTATGGTGGGGGTGCTGATAATAGTTTTGAGCAGTCATCCATGCCGACGACACCGAGCAGAGGTGGAGGTCACGACTACACTCTAGTGCATAGCAATGCTTCAGAGCAGGTTGGCTAGTTGGTTGGTTGGTTGGTTGATTGATTGAATGATTGATTAAGTGATTGATTGATTGATTGATTGATTAGTTGATTGGCTGACTGGGTTGTTGGCTGGTTGGTTGGTTGATTGGCTCTCTGGCTAGCTGATTGGTGTAAAATTTGGATGTTGTTATTATTTAGTTATGGTTGTTATAAATTTTCATTTTCTCATCCATTCCTCACTGCAGATTGAAGGATTGAAATTAAAACTGCAGAAAAGAAGGTACAGGAGGTCAAAGCACGATAATGATCTCGAAAAAGGTTAGATTTTGATAGTGATAGCAGTACTTGTAGTAGTGGTAGTAGTAGTAGCAGCAGCAGTTATCAAACAAATGTTAGTTAAAAATTGTCCTTAGTAATTGAATTAACATTGAAAGTTTGAATGACGCATTTTTTGATTGATGTAATAGAAAAAATTGATCCAAAAAGATGAATGATTACCGAGACAAAAAATTGAATGAATTGTTGAATGAATGAATGAATGAAAGAATGAATGAATGAATGAATGAATGAATGAACAAAACGTGACTGCACCCAGCTAAGAAGATGTACCATAGTGAACATAACAGTGACAACGAGGTACTCGTGAACTCTAGCTACAGTGCTGAAAATATTGCTGATGACGACTATATGGTTGGTCAATCTATATTTTAATAAACTATATTTTAATAAATATAGTTTTTTTTTTTTATTAAATATAAATTTTAATAAACTATATTCAATAAACTATATTTCGAGTTTCGATTTCAAGTAAATTTTTTTTCTCCACTTTAACAAAAAAAAACAGAAAACGCTGAGGCACTCGAAAAACCCAGAGGCCATGTTGAATACGAGGATTCCAGTGTACAACACGCAAGATGGAAGTCGACTGTCTGGCGAGGAGGCACCGACGCTGAAAGTACTCGAAGACTGGCTCGATCTACATCCCGAATATGTCGTTGATAATGAGGTGTTGTGTGTGTGTGTCTGTCTGTCTGTCTGTCTGTCTGCGTGTGCGTGTTTGTATGAGATGATTGTGGTCAGTTAATCTATTGACGCAAATCTCAGCTACACATACGTTCCCGTACTGACACAAACACACCTATCCCACCATCACTACAGAAGTACCACCAACAGAGTCGCAAAATGCGTCTGGACCCCATGCGCCTGACACTGAACGATCTGACGGGCGAAGAGAACGTGACAGTGGTAAACAGGAACACCGGTAAAAAGATATCAGGTATGAAGGCGCCAATGTTAATGGACCTTGCAGACTGGCTGCTTAAGAACCAGGGCTTTGACGTTGATTCCAGATGGCACTCACTCATTAGACAGCTTGTAAGTGTAATCTGTGCTGTGGAAGATTTGCAAATCTGTGTGTGTCATGTGTTGGATTGTTTTCTTATATGTGTAGATGTGGTGGATTTGTAGTTGCGTTTTTTCGTAAGTCTAGGATGGTTTATGATACTGAAATGTTTGTTGTAAGTGAGAATTTGATTCAAGCGAGATGATTTGCCTCTGCAATCACAATGAGAGGCTTGATGAAATGATCAATTCAACTACTTAATTGCACAACAGCACAATTTTCCGGAAGAGTTATACGATCGACTGCTAGAGCCGTCGCCATCCTCCTCAACAACTACATCAACTGCAAACAGACCCTCGACGACGACGACAAACTACAACTCACACCACACAAGCAACAATCCGACGACGACGGCTACCTTAAAGATTAGCCAGCGTGCAGCTATGTCTCCTGCTGAAAACAGCTCAAAAACCAGCAACGACAGCCATCAGTCGAGAGAAAAGACGCCAAGACAGCAGCCACAACAGCTTCAACCGTCTTCATCATCAGCTATTCAAAACATACAAAAATTTGGCGAGCGCTACTTTGCAGGCGAGACAACTAACTCTGCTTCTACGCATCTAGGCTTGCTAAGAAATGCTGTCAAGTTGCCTAAGAACTGTGGCGCGAAGAGTAGCGACACTGGCCGCCTGAATAATGAGGAAGAGGAGGAAGATGAAGAAGAGGACGAGGAAGAATTTGATGATGACGTCAACGATGACGACGGCGTGATAGGTGAGGAGCTGATCGAGGAGGAGGTGGATTTTGATGAGGAAGATAACGAAAATGAAGAGGAAGAAGAAGAAGATGATGACGTTGATAACGACGTTGATGATGATGATGAAGATGATGAAGGATCTACTGTTAATGATGAGGATGAAGATGATGATGACTCTTAGAATAAGCTTATATATTGATTGATTAATTAATTAATTAGTTAATTAATTGATTGATTTTAATGACTGATTGATTGATTGATTGACTGATTTTTTTAATTGATTAATCACCCTGATATGTTTATGGCGTTCGATATTCATTCATGTAAATATTACAAAATAGTGTACGTTATCGTAATGAATCTACTGTTCGTAAATGATGTGCGTGGGTGTGTGTGTGTGTGTGAATGTGTGTGTGAAAGTGTGTGTGAATGTGTGTTCGTGTCCGTTTATTTAATTACGTCATCATAGATAAGTAATTTTACTTTTTATGTAATTTTTTTATATAAAAGTACTATTTCCTCCTGGCATACATACATACATATATATATCATACATATGTATGTGAATCTACTAGTATTATATACCAACATATAAATAAAATGTATATACATTAAATACAGATGTATTTTATTACTACGTATTTTTGTATTATGTTCGTATTATTATTATTATTATTATTATTATTTACTGAATTACTTATTTTAATATAAATGAAAAAATTTATACATACATCTCTCTCTCTCTCTCTCTCTCTCTCTCTCTATATATATATATATATATATATATATATATATATATATATATATGCTAGGTCCAAGCTCTTGTAGAACTGTGTAATCTAATATTAATGTAGTAATTATGACTGCACTTTGTAGGAATTATTTGTTATTATTATTTGTTATTATTATTATTACTATTATTATTGTTTTTCATTATATAAGGACTGAGCTGTACATGTATATGTGCATTTCAAGAAATAAATTTACAAACTGTGGCTTTTGTTTCACTTGACTCTGATGGTTCTAACCTATTTTTGGCTTTTATCAATTAAAAAAAGACTAATGCTGATAGAGATATTTATGACATTTCTGAAATCTGTATAAATAAATAATAATGAATAATAATGAATCTAAATAATAATAATGAATAATAATGATTCTGTATAAATAATAATGAGATTAATGACTGACTAGGTATGGTAAACTGTTAAAGTGATGTCGGTGTGACTTGGTACGAATGCCAAGAGGGGCCCGTCTTTCGTATTTGATGTATCTGATATGTTGATTTGGGCGTAAACACGTTCTATGTATCTATAGTATATGATATCTCTGAGTTTTTGGCCGATTCAGAAAGACTAACATCTATTATAATTATTGTATATTATTATTAATAGTGACACTATCAAAGTGAGATATATAAAGAGAGTTAGTTACTGGCAGAAAGTTTAAAAAATTGATCTAACAAATTTTATTTTTTACGTCATTTTTGCAGTCGTCACGTGTGTGTGTGTATGTATGTGTGTGTGTATGTATGTGTGTGTGTATGTATGTGTGTGTGTATGTATGTGTGTGTGTATGTATGTATGTGTGTGTGTGTATGTGTGTTGGGCGTGTTTTAGCACGTTTCATTCAAGCGGCCTTCTATTACATAATCGTCGTGGAAACTTACAAGATATCGTTTGTATTGCTGGCTCTCTGCCAAACATTCCAAGTTTGTATGTGTGCGTGCGTGCGTCCGTGTGTGAGCATGCGTTCTGTTAGGCATTCATTCATATTTTTTCAATGCTACTACTTTTTTCTCACATAATGATGTCATTGTTGTCGCTTCTAATGCTTCTTGTTGTCATGATGTTGTTTATCTCAGATTGCTTTGTTGTTGAGTGCGCTTAAGTTTGTGTGTGTGGGATGGTTGACATGTGGCTGCTACTACGTGCAATTTTTAAGAGTGAGTTTGTCGTCTGTGCTACTGCTAATTAACGTTGATTGATTCAAACACACACACACACACACACACACACACACACACACACACACAGAGAAAGACAGATACACACGTAGAGATACACACATACTTTAGAAACTCGTCCACCTTATCTAATTTGTTAATAAATAGATATTTATTAATAAAATAGAAGTTAGATTAAAATTTTGAAATGAAATTTTATGTAGTGATAGTAACAGTAAGACATATTGAGAAAATACTTACAAAACAGGACGAAATGCCAGGCTCAGTGTGAAGCAGTTTTTTTTACGTCGCATGTGGCGAGAATTTAAAAAAAATGTTGTTCTCTTCGTAACTTTATTTATTTATAATGAGTTTATCCGTAATATTTTGTCGTCACGATGTCTCATTACCTCATATATGTAGATTTATTCTTTTTCTGTGTTCGATCATGCGTTCGTCGTCCATTCATCTAGATAACATCATAATGTTTTTATTTGTTTGATATGTAAATATTCAGACGATCGTGCGAGGTTAATACCAAGTTTTTATTTGCATTTTAAAAGGCATCCATTTTTTGCCAAGTCTGGTTTTGCCCTCTCTTTCTCTTTCTCTTTCTCTCTCTCTCTCTCTCTCTCTCTCTCTCTCTCTCTCTCTCTCTCTCTATCTATCCATCCATCCATCCATCCATCCATCCATCTATCTATCTATCTTGTTATCTTGTTTTATGGATACTTGAAATACTTAAAGGCTATAATTGGAGAGTACTCGTATGTATTTATAAAACTTTTAAAATATTATTATGGCGATAATGAACGCGTATATGGCTGTATTAAGCATATATATAGCTTATTACTAAATATATATACATATCGCAAATATAAATTTTATATAGGCTTATATACAGCATATATGACTGTATATCATATATATAGCCGAAGGTAAACATATACTATACCTACGTAACAGTGTTGCTAGGGCAGATGACAATCGGCGGAGCTGAAAATTGCCGATCATGACCTGCTTTTTTAAGACAATCGGTTCCAGACATACATCACACGACACATCTATAAGGAGATTGAGATTGTCTCAATCAATTAACCAATCCTTAGATCTGGTGTCTTTACTGTATGCAACTTAGTTCACACTCGTTTATCACAGAACATACCATTCGGTTTTAAAACTTTTTTAATTGAAAATTTCTTGCTTTTCATTTTCCAAGTCTGTCTATTTGAAACGTTATTACCAAATCCCTTTTCTCTCGCTTTTTCTTTTCTTTCTTTCTCTCTATATGAGTATTGTATATATATATATATTTTATATTGAATATATCGTTATATAAAAATCTATCCTAAATATGTATAGCAATATATATCACACACCCCAACAGATGTGCTAGAACGAAACATTACTTTCCTGAATCATATATAAACATCACTGCCATATACATATATATAACATTGTGTGCTTTATAAGCTTTATACAATGACTAATATTGATTATATGCAGTATTTTTCCAAAGAAAGACGTTGATGTTTTCGGGGCAATGTCCAAAAATTCACACACATACAGAGACCACGCGCACACACACACCCACACACTCATATACCCACACACACACACACACACACACACACACACACACACACACACACACACACACACACACACACACACTCATATACCCACACACCACACACTCATATACACACACCACACACCCATATACACACACCACACACTCATATACACACACCACACACAATAATATACACACACAGACACACACATATACACACACACAGACACACACATATACACCACACTCATAAGCACAAAGAGACACACACATATCACTGAGTAAAATTCACACACACATACACAGATCACGCATACACACACACACACACACGCATGCACACACACTCTTATACACACACACTCATATACACACACATACAACGGAGTAAACCCCTCTTATGTGATCACCTTTCCAGCTTGACAAATCCTAGCAAAATTTTGGTTATAATGGCTTTTATATGTTTTTCATGATATTCTTTTAATTGTAAAGATGTTAAGTTAGAAAAATAATATAAATTAACTCAGTATAGCAAATTAATTAGAAAAATTAATTACAATCAATCGAAAAATCAGTGAAAAAAGGTAATTTACCGAAAATTTAAATTCGTAAAAAACGCTAAAATGCCGCTTCATGATTTGTTTACATTTAAAAGTTACCAACAACGTAAATCATTTTTATTTCATAAATAAACTATTTTGTTGATTTTTTTCATTTTAAATTTGTTTTTCGCGAATTAAAGAAAATTAAATTTTCTTTTTTGCCAAAATTGTCTTACTAAATTCTTTCGGAGGCTTGGCAGAAAATTTCAAGTTTGACTGAAATAGATGAAAATTCATTTTTATTTCATAAATAAACAATTTTGTTGATTTTTTTTCATTTTAAATTTGTTTTTCGCGAATTAAAGAAAATTAAATTTTCTTTTTTGCCAAAATTGTCTTACTAAATTTTTTCGAAGGCTTAGCAGAAAATTTCAAGTTTGACTGAAATACCTCTTTCGTTTTTTTTCTTTAATTTTAATTTTTTTAATCAATACTTAATATTGGAATTTCCAATTACTGATTTCTTTTACGTTTTGTATTTTTTTATTATGGTTTACATTTACTATATGATATATATATATAATGTTAACTACATTATATATATATATATATACATATATAACATTACAATTATAATATATATATATATATATATAAGAGAGAGAGAGAGAGAGAGAGAAATGAGTGAGACAGAAAAAGGACAAAAAACAAAAAATAGGAAAAGTACAGTAGTAAGGTGAGAGAGAAAGTGAGAAATAAAAAGAGTAAAAAAATATAAAAAGAGAGAGTGTGAGAGAGGGTAGAGAGAGAGAGAGAGAGAGAGAGAATAGAGAGAGAGTGAAAAAGAGAGTGTAATACAAATGTTATATAATGAATGAATGTTGAGTGTTGACTCAGTCTAATAATTTCACAACATCTCATGGTATGCTATTATATACTATAGCATGATAAGATAAATGTATTACATTGATTTATTTATTGTAATATAAAGTTATAAATTAATATATATTTATAAATCAATAAATAGACTTACTACAAAGCTTCAAAGTCAGATTGTTCTTCATCTATCATCTGTTATATAAATTTTTTAATTTTTCATTAAAGTTAAATTTTAAAAACACAAATTTTTAAATAAATACAACTTTTAACTTTGTTACTTTTACAGAACAAGTAACCATCTAACTTTCAATGTTATTGCATCATATATAAAATTGATTATCACAAGCTGAATATAAAGAGTTATTTAATAATAGATAAACAAAATAATTTACTTATTTATATAGTATTATTTCAATTATTTTAATGTAAAATGCACGCTTATATATCAGTTATTATTATATTATTTCACTTTTAATCATTCTTCATCCCCACTGCAGAAACTCTCCACTAATCCAAACAGAATTTAGAATGATAAGTAGAGACTACTCGAACATCACATCATATGGTGATGACGACGATGCCAGTTATGATGATGATTTCATAATTCCTACGGCAAATACTACTACTACTACTACTACTAATAATAATAATTATAATAATAATAATAATACTGACATCTCCATCCAATACACAGAGGTTATTATCATCGGTTAGTTAACTTTTCCATTTTTTCAATTATTATACATATTGGTTGGCTAATTAGTTTACGAATACTAATGCTGTGTGTCTCTGAGTGTTTGTATGTGTGTGTGTGTGTGTGTGTGTGTGTGTGTGTGTGTGTGTGTGTGTGTGTGTGTGTGTGTGTGTGTGTGTGTGTGTGTGTGTGTGTGTGTGTGTGTGCTGTTAATTAACTAGTTGCTATCCTTTGCATTAGAAGCAAAAATTTTAGAAAAATATTTGGTAATGTATTTAAGAATTGACAGGACTGTGTGATATAATATAAATTTATGAATTATTGTTCTAGAAGTGTGTAGATGTGTTCTATATATTGTTCTATATTGTTCTATATGTGTGTAGATGAGTTCTGTATATTGTTCTATATTGTTCTATATGTGTGTGTGTGTGTGCATGTGCACGTGTGTGTGTATTTATGTGTGTGCTCTGAATTTGTTATGCCAAAGAATTAAGGACTGTGTGATATAATATAAGTTTATGATTTATCGTTCTATATATATATATATATATATATATATATATATATATATATAAATATTATATATATATATATATGTGTGTATGTGTGTGCGTGTGCTTGTGTGTATGTATTTATGTGTGTGAACGGAGGAATGAATGAACAACAAACAAAAACTGTTCAGTAAACATTTTGTTGCCAAGATGTTTCTATATATTATATAATCCGAAATGAATAATAATATAACAACAATAGTAACGAACTGTAGCCATAAATGAGACAACAACAACAACAAAAACAACAATAAAAATAACATTGATATTAATGATTAATACGGCTATAATAATAAGAAGAATAACAATAATAACAATAGTGCTCATAAAAGAAAATGCTATTAAAAGTTCCTACGTCATGCCTGCCGAATCAATAAAGGACTTGTATTTTATTTTTCATTTTTCTCTCCCTATCTTTCTTTTTTTCTCTCTCTTTCTCTCCCTCTCTCTTTTTCTCTCTCTCTCTCTCTTCATCTTCATCACTTATGAACGTCATCAACACCAGGTAATGGACCATCAGGTATCAGTTTATCTTATATGCTCTCCGGATATCGCCCATACTATAACTACAGCAGCAGCAGCAGTAGCAACCATGACAAAAACAGCAGCAGCAGCAGCAACAACAGTCGCCATCCAAACGAATTGCTCCATGCAAGGATTATGAACATGACACTAGAATCTAGAGAAAATATTCTAGAACAGGTAAGTTAATTGATTTGTGTCTTGATTTGTGGTAGCGCGGCTGTTTGTGGCGTTGTGTGGCGTTGCTTGCTCTCGTGGTTAAAATGCAAGGTCATCTATGTCTTAAATGCTAAAGCGTGCCTAATGAATGTATCGTTTTTGTCATATATATGTCTGTATGTGATTGTCTCTTAAGTGTTGAGAGACGCCATTGAATATATGGAAGAAGATGGCGCTATATAAATTGAAATAAATGATTGTATGATCAGGTGGATGAATGAGTCGTTCAATGAAAGTATTGATGTTTTATTATTTATGTATTTTTTGTTTCATTTATGTTAGGATCTCGGCTTGCTATCAGAGGGTCTCGAAGGAAGATCAACCAATCCGGTTGCGCTGCTGTTCGACGCTTTGACCAATCCGAACGCAGATCTCGGTATGCCACGCCCACCTGCGATTGACTGGCATTTTGATTGGACGGCTAAATATGTACCCCACGTTGTTATTGGTAAGGCAATGCCAGGTGGAACTTGGCAGGTTAGAGTTGCAGTTTATTTGGAAATTTCTTCCATTAATTCATTCATTTATTCATTCATAGTTATTCATTCATTTATCTATTTATGCATGCATTCATTCAGGCATTCATTAATTCATGCATTCATTTGGGCATTCATTCATTCATTCATTTTTTCTAGACGATGGAAAAAACAATGAAATCATTGAGCATAAGCTCCTTGCTACAGTTACCCGGCCTACCAATCGACGATTGGTTACTTAAGCACAGGTTGTTATTATTATTTTTGTTTATTATTATTATTGTTGTTGATTATTATTATTGTTGTTGTTGTTTTTGGGGATGTTTAAAGTATTGCAAAAGTTTTTACATTTTCTTAACGATCTCTAGAGCAAGAGAAAATGCACAACAACATCTACAGCCACAACAACAACAACAACAGCAACATCAACAACAACTGCAACGACAACAACATCAACAAAATGAAATGAAGAGGGCCTCAGTAGATGAAGCTTGCCAGTACTTTCTCGATTTCATTGACGTCAACAAACTCTCAAAAAATTTTCTCAATTTTCATTTGGTTACCAAAGTTCAAAAAGTACTTGCGCACTCTAAGAAAGTACTCAACAGCAATGACGGTTACACCTACAACGACAATATTTACGATGTTGTTGATGACGTCATTGGCGACGATGATGAAACCGCTGATGATAACAACGTTCTTATTGGTCGCGGTAATGACGATGACGATGGTGGAACTCCAAAGAATAAGTATTTATGGGAAGTCACAGGCATTGATTCGACAGGTAAGACTGTATTTATTTATTTGTCTATTTAATACCTCAAAAATTGTAAATTAAATTGTAAATCTTTAAAAATCAAGCTTCAAAAATGTATTCTTCTCTCATTTATCTCCAGGGCGACCCTTTTGCTATCGGGCCCCACGTCTCGTCTTGGCTACAGGGTCATCCGATCGTCCAAACAGGCTGGGTGTGAATGGAGAGTCCCTGCCAAATATCCTCCACTCCCATGCGGAATTCGAAACTTTCATCAACTCCAGATTAGCATCCGGAAGAGGAAAGAGATGCAACAGCTCCTGCCCTGTCAATGATTTCGTGAATAGTTGGTGCAACAGGAGATTTTTCTCAAAGTGCGATGGTGACGTCATCACGACTGATGGCCAGAAATTAATCTCATCCGACGTCGACGGCAACATGATGAATGTCTGCTTCAAGAACTTCAAAAACGACATCAAAAGCATCAGCAGCGGCCACGATGGCGACAACAGCAGCAACATTTTAACTGGAATTGATGGTACCGATGTCACTCGCCTACCACGTGTCTGTAACAAAAATCAAAGGTGCAAACTCAGGAGAGGTTTTTGCCGATTTTTCCGATTATTCGACACTCCGAAACCCACTCCCTTCCTAGCTCATCCCATCGTCATCGTCGGATCCGGATTAAGTGCCGCAGACGCAGTTTTATACGCCCTGGATCGCCAGATCCCTGTGATCCATATCTTCAGGAGCGATTTCGAAACGCTGAATAAAATTTACTCCAATCTCTCTCCCGTCATCTACCCGGAATACACGAGGGTCTATGATCTAATGACGCAAAAAGTGGTACTGAATGGTCTCTACAAGAGCTACCCTGGAGTGGAGATCTTAGGTTTCACTAGGAATCATCAGGTAGAAGAGGGCTTTACGTTCGATGTATATGGTTCATTGTGTGTACCTGTACAGCTTTCATTTTATATTTCTACAACTTTGTAATTAACGTTTTTAATAATGATTTTTTTTTTGTTGATTTGTTAGTTTATTCTTTAGCAACTAACCTACGAATCGAATCACGCCTACGTGCACACACAAACAAACAAATACCCACACACACACGCACACACACATACGCACAAACGAACGAACAACTAACTAGGTCCTCATTCAGGAATGTGACCAGGAACAGAGCTTAACAATCCAGGCCTCCTTGGTCATAATTCTGATCGGATCCCAGCACAACCTCTCATTCCTAGACGATGAAATCCTGAAGAATCTTTACAAAACTCCCAAAGTTCGTAGAAACAACAACAACAGCAGCAGAACCACCAGCACCGTTACCGCTAATAGAAGCAACGACAGCAGTGGTAGTAGTGGTCAGCTACTAATTGACGTTAACCCCGTAACTTACCAAAGTAACCAGCACCGCGGGCTTTACGCCATGGGTCCCCTTGTTGGGGATAACTTTGTGAGATACCTAGGCGGGGGTGCCATGGGGATTGCCTCCCATATCATTAAAGATTTATCCGTGTAGTGTCTGTTGTCCGGTCGTCGTTTGTTTGTTTGTGATTGTTGGTTGTTTGTTTGTGTTTGTTTGTTTGTTTGTTTGTGGTTGTTTGTTTGTGGTTGTTGTTTGTTTGCTTGTTTGTGGTTGTTGTTTGTTTTTGGTGTGTTTCTTTTTTTAACTTATTTGTATGAGTGTGTGATTTTTGTTTCGATATTTGTGGCCATTTTTATATATATATATATATGTATATATAAATGTATATTAATGAATATTAATGTATCAATATCAATTGTTGCTCATGATGTATAGTTACTCTGTCATAATATTATAAAATGATATGTTCAGTTTATATACCTTACCCACTCATTCATTCATTCATTCATTCATTCATTCATTCATTCATTCATTCATTCATTCATTCATTCATTCATTCATTCATTCATTCATTCATTCATTCATTCATTCATTCATTCATTCATTCACTTATTTATTATCAATTAATTTATTCATTCTTTCTTTCATTTGTTTGCTCCTTCAAACGTTTATTCGTTTTGTTCATTCATTTCGTTCATTTGTTTGTTGGTGTATATATATATATATAAATATATATATATATATATATATATATATATATATATATATATATATATATATATATATATATATGTATGTATATAGTACAGCTGATCTTATTGTTTGTATATCCGATTACTACTTGTTTTTTTAATCCATTCATTTATTCGTTCATTCATTTATTCACCTATTCATTCATTCGCCCATTTATTCATTCACCAATTCACTCATTCATCATTCTTTTATTCATTCACCCATTCATTCATTAGTTCGTTTTTACTTGCATTTGCTTCTTTCTTACTGAATGAACTATATCGAATGCAGTACACTTATATGTGGAAAGTGTGAAACTGTGAAAATATAATAATGATGGTCTTAATATTATTATTAATATTAATTAACATTAATATTATTAATAATAAAAAAGATATTACTGTTATTATTATTATTATTGTTGTTATTATTATTATTATTATTACTCATCCATTTGTTCATTATCTCGTTCATTCATTCCTTCATTTATCCATAAATTCGTTCGTTCGTTCATTCGTTCATTCATTCATTCATTCATTCATTCATTCATTCATTCATTCATTCATTCATTCATTCATTTATTCATTCATAATTATATTTCGTCAGTTTGTTACATCAATCATTGTTGCATCATTATTATTTATAATTTCGTTATTCTTATTATTATTATTATAGCTGTTGTTGATAATTTTTCATAACCAGATAAGAATAATTTTTTTTTTCAATTTAGGAAAATATTTAATTGGATTTAATTGGATTAACATCCATTGCCTATGGGGAACATTTTTTGCAAACAGAACCATACGTGTAGATGTTTGTGTGTGCGTGTACGTATGTATGCACGTGCGTGCGTGTTTGTATGTGCGTATATAAGTACCAGTGTATGTGTGCACCCATTTTTGTACACACAATTTTTGTGCGAGCAAATTTTGTATCAACATTCTTTCCATTGCACTTGTTAGCGTTAAGCATACTGCTATGACAACAAATGTATTGATTTTTTGTTTGGTTTTACGATACTCTTGTTCTTTATTTTATATTAAAAATAATAATCAGCGGTGGTTATCAGAGCAATCTTTTGTTTTATGTACGTGTATGTTTGTATGTTTGTTTGTTTGTTTGTATGTATGTATTCATGCATGTATGTTTGTATGTTTCTTTGTATGTTTTTTTGTATGTATGTAAGTGTGTGTGTGTATTTTTGTATCTGTAGGTGTATACACATGTATTTATGGTGGGTATCCAAAAAATACAACGATGTACTATATGTATAATTATTATTTCGTGATGTATGATGAATGTTTTCAGGCATCTATTATTGTTTAATCTAGTTGCAGGTATCATGTTCCTTTACGTTTGGTTGCTCCTAGATAGGTGTGTGTCTGTATGTGTATTTGTGTCTGTGTGTGTATTTGTGTGTTGTGTGTGTGTGTGTATGTGTGTGTGTGTTGCCACTTGACAGCGATTCTAAATGTTTTAAGCAGATGCTCTCATTATCATACTTAACATGATTTTTTTTTCTATCAAATTTTAAGTGTCTCCTTGATAGAGTTATCTCACTTTCTCTCTTCCTATCTCTCTCTGTTTCTACTTTCTCTCTCTCACTTTTTCTCTCTCTCTCTCTCTTTCTAAATGTAGCTAAGTATATTTTTGTCTAGGATATGTATAAATATATCAAAAAATAAACTCTAGAGCGAATGTTTGTCGCTCTATTTTTAAAGAAATATATACATATATTTGAATGAATGAACTATTAACCACACTGAACTAATTATTCAGTTAGTTATTTGGTTAATTACCAGGTTAATTTCTTGGTTTATGATCGATTAGTTATCCGGTTAGTTTTCCGGTTAATTTATCGAGTTATCCAGTTAATTATCCGGTTAATTTATCGAGTTATTCGATTACTGAATTGCTAATACGTTTAATTGGTCGTATAATGTAATTTTTGCCAATAAGTAACCTATATCTGTCTTGTTATTTTAGGTTTCGAGTGTAATCTGTTTTCGTAAAAAAAAATCTTCCATGACAAAATATGAAGCACCATGTATTTTTATATTATTTCGAATTTTTCGACTTCATTCGTTTTGGTGGTTCTTTCCTTCTATTCGTTCATTCATTCGTTTAAAGTTGAAAACCTTCATCAAATATCATTTGCCAATATATATATTTTTATCATTTTATTAAAATTTGTAATTAAATATGCCAGGATATATATATATATATATGCCAGGACATATATATATTTATATGTATATATATATATATACAGATAGATAAACGTATATATTCATATTTATTCATTCATTTATTTATCATTCACTCAGAAAAGGGTACAGCAGATGACACATCTTATTTTTTCCACTCACCACTCCCTCTTTCTTTCTCACACACTCCTTCATTCTCTCTTTTATTTCTCTATTTTGCTCTCCCTCTCTCTGTCTATCTATTTAGAAGTAAAAAAAACTTATTAAAGGGATTTGTAAGATGGTTTTGTATGATCGTTGCATAATTTTTTGTGCCTTGCAAGCATGTAATTCGTCATTTTATAATGTATTTATTATTTTATTATAGTTATAATTGAACATCTTTGAAACGTGATGGTTTATTGATAATAAAAAATGAATTGATGAATGAATGTATGAAAAGATAGATTGGTGAATTAATGAACAGTGAGTGAGTGAATGAATGAATAAATGGATGGATGGATATAGATGTATCCATGTAACATTTGAAGCATACATCTGATCAATAAATTTGATATTTGTATTCAAATTATTCATCAGTTCAATCAATCAATCAACCATTCAACAACCAATCAATACCAATCAATCAATGATATCATTATATCAAATCGTCAATAAGTTTAGATATATCTAATGTATCATCATCTATTTGTGGTTTCTTTGCTTTCATCTCTGTTACGCTTACGTCATTATTATGATTTTTCTTGCCTCTGGTGAATTTTTTTTTGTTTTTAGAATAACTTTTAAAATTACAAATAATTGATATTAAAAGTTGTAATAAAATATTCATGAAAAATCAGAAAACTTGGTGAAAAAAATTGTCGAAACCTTTTTCCAACGGCCACTCTTTCAGTTTGGTAAAAGTTTATTTTTCTAACCCCACCACCACCATCATTCTCATCACATCTATCAGTTCTTTCATCATTTTTATCATCATTTTTTTTAATATTATCATCGTTTATATCGCCACCATCATCATCCGAAATTATTTTAATTTTCTTTTTCATAGGGACGATCTGAAATAGATCTTCATCAGTTTGAGAATCACCAAATACTAGCAAACTTGAACTGTTTAGGTTAGGCGCTGGGGACGAGAAATAGGGATGTGCCGATGATGATGGCCCTGCTGTTGGCTCAGCTGCTGCTGCAGATGATGATGGTAACGACTGCAATTCAGCTGCTGTTTCTAGTGGCAACGAGGGTAACGATACTGACGTCATTTCTTGGCTGGCGTTGCTGTGCTGTGAGATGATTATTATGAATACGTAATTCTAAAGTAAATTCTATTTGATGATATAAATTCCGATGATGATGTGAGTATAGAATTTTGTACAATAATTGAAGTTAATTATTTGTGGATAAGTTATTTTTTTAAAGTTTACTAACATCACTTTCTTCTGTGTCTGTATCAAAGTCACTGTTGAAATGAAAAATCGTCATCTTCATCGTCATCACCATTATCTTCATTATCACCATAACCACATCAACGACAACATCTGTAACCTCATTATCAACAAACAAAAACACCACAAATTTCGTCTCGCCATCTCAACTATGACGTCATCAATTTAACCTTGAATGAATTATTTCGTTACTCTCAACATTTACTCTTGATTTACTAGAAGTTGAAGCAGCAGCAGTAGCAGCAGCAGCAACTGCAGTAGTAGTTTTAGCTTTTTTCTTGGCAGGTTTTTTAGACTTAGCACCCTTTAATTTGGACTTTCTTTTGTCAACATGATCGTCATCTGTACATTCATTATCTGTTGCAAAATGATAGAATAAAACATAAATACATAGATACGTATTACTACATACTCATACGCACATTCACACATACATATAGACATACATACACAAAGAGAATGTTAATAAATATTAAATGGACAACAAATGGATGTATATGACACATGAATAAAACACACATATACATACAAAACATAAAAAAACTTCAAATTATTCCTACAACATAAATTTATTGATATTAAAATTACTTTATTTTTACGAATTACAGCCTTATTAAATAGCCACCTGGTAATGCATGGACAGACTGCTTTAATTGTTCTACTAGAAATGTAAATTAGTGAAAATAAATAAATAAATAAAACTAAAATATATGAATTATGATTGATTATATTTAAGTATAAGGTCTATGAATTTATTCACAAAATAACTACTGAAATACATACATTCTTCTTTCAGATGCTTAATTTTGTCTTTTTTTGCATTCAACACCAAGGCAAACTATCAATGAATTAATTAAATTATAATTGATTATAGTTAATTATAATTAAAAAATTGATTTTTGCAATTGTAATATGTGTTTATTGAAGACTTTAAGTTGAATAAAGGATTTTAATCTCACAAAAATTTTTAAAAATTACTACGAAAAAATCAAAATGACTTTGCTAAATAGATCAACTTCTATTCTCTCTTTATGAATGGTTAGTTCATCCAATTTCTGCAGTAAGATACAAAGAAATTGATGATTAGAGTAAAACTTTGTGACAAATTGATAATAAAATAACTAAAAATAATATGATAACTTAAATTTAATGGCAAATTATCAATGAATCAGATAATAATATTAAGTTTTAATGTTGGATTTAACTGATAAATACAAATATTACTTTTAAAACGTTATTATAGCCCTCTAAAACATCATTTTTTTCTTTAGTCAAGTCACCTACAGATTTCTTTTGACTGCAAATTAATAATAGTAGATCATCTAATAAAGCTGTCATTTCGCTATCTTCTGTTGAACATCTGAGAACGACTGATCCTAATCTTTGCTAAAATTTAATGTGGGATATTCAACAAATAAAAAAATTTATGAATATTCGTTAACAAATAATTGAGATATAATTAAATCATTTGGTTAATAATATAATTAATCCCTAAAATTGTTAATATGACAATATAAGTAATCTACTAACACTAAGACTACACAATGTGAAGAAATTATTTCTATTATAAATGGTAGATATTTTTTCTTACCTTTACGTCATCTCCACCCAGTAATTTTTTCCAAGTCACAACCACCTCCAAATCATTCTCCAAATATTTTATTTCAAGAAAAAATTCACTCTTGTTGTTATCATGTTCCTCATCTTTAAACACAGAAATTGTTTCTGACCAGATATCTTCGAGACTTTTGCTGGTTTTGGAGCTAAATAATTCAAAATCTTCGAGTGTCACTAAAAATATGAATAATATATTAATTGAGAAATATATTTATATTTATAAGAATTCAGCTTTAGGAAATCTTACCTTTCCCTTTATAAAATTTTTGGCCATCAAAAAGTTTTAAACCCAGTTCTCCAAATTCGTCGGACCACGTCAGTTCAAAATAGCATTGCTTATTCTCAACAATTCGTTTCAAAAATAAGTATTTCATTTTATTTTAATAATAAAAATTAAAAACAAATATAGAAATTACCTGAATTATGAAAATAAATTTGTTAAACAAATGAAAAACGATTTTCCGTAAATAAATCATATACTCCAAAATCTAAACCAAAATAAAATGAATTAAATTTCAGTTATAAGTCATTTAAAATATTTAAAATTATATTTTTAGAATAGAATATCCTATGTTAATTCGTTTCAGTTCTTTGCTTTTTAATTATATTTCTGTGCTTTCATTTCCGTATAAAATTGCGGTTGTAGCCGTACTAGTGAAAGCGTTCGCCATTATTTGCTTTAATCGTTTAAATAAGTCGTAATAAAAAATGTCGACCACTCAAGATGATAGAGTCCCGGATTCGGACACCATCAAAATGTTTATGGGTCAAATTTCTCGGAGTTTAGACGAAGATAATCTGAAGGCGTATTTATCAGAATATGGGCAAGTTTATGAAGTCAAAATTATTCGAGATAAAGTTTCTGGAAAAAGCAGAGGTTAGTACGAATTAGAATTAGTGAATCAAATTAGTGATTGTTTACATCTGATTTTGTGTCACCAAGCTTGAATCAAATTTAAAGTACTCCCATTCGTAATTATAATATTAATTAATAAGACAATTATGATTATAAAATATACGCTATTAATTTTTAATATTTTTTATAAAACTAATATATATTTGTAAGAACTTTGAACTAATAATATATAATTTTGATTTAAGGTTGTGCATTTGTCACGTTTTACTCTAGAAAAGATGCATTAACAGCGCAGATGGCACTGCACAACTTAATCACCATGCCAGGGGTAAATTATTATTACTATTATAATTATTTATTATGAATTAAATATTTGTAATTATTCCATCTTCAAATCTTTAGAAATCAATCAAATCCATTGTTGTTTATGTATTTATTGATATAGCTGGCTCATCCGATTCAAATGACCCCGGCAGATGGTGCAAATCAGAAGTCATCTGGTTGGTAACATCTTACTTATTTAATTTTTTTACACAATTTCTATCTTAATAAATACCTTTATTTACAGTTAATAAGTTATGAAACAGTAAAAAATAATCTACATAACGTTCAATCCTAACTTCATCATCGTTTTTAAGCAGTTGAGGACAGACGGTTGTTCATAGGAAAGATATCAAAGCATATTACCGAAGAGGAGCTACAATCAGCTTTCACGCCTTTCGGGGAGATCGAAGATATGTTTATAGTTAGGGAGCCAAATGACCCAACACTGTGTAGGGGCTGTGCTTTTGTGACCTATGTACATCGGGACTCTGCCCTGGATGCCATCAAGCACCTCCATATGACCAAAGTCTTTGATGTGAGATTTTTTTCAATTTTCACTTTTCTTTTTAGATGGTAACATTTCTTTGTCAAAATTACTTTGACTTGGTTTATTACTTAAACTAAAGGCTCGATAAAGTTATGAATTTTTCTACTTTTTTCTTTTACCTTCTTAGAGCTATGCAGAGCCGACGATTGTAAAGTTTGCTGACACACAGAAAGAGAAGGAGAAAAAGAAAATGTTACAGAATCAGAGCAAGAGTATGGTACCATTTGGACAGGTAATTTGAAGTGCTTCATATCAGTGTCAAAATTTGTTGTTTTCTATTGCCATCATAACTAGTTTTGTGTTAATTTTTATCTGCAGTATATGTATTGTCAAGTGATAGTTGACCATCCTTATTATTTAATTGCTTGAATATTTTATGTTTTCACTGGTGTATGCTTGCACGTCTTAAACCATTGGCAAACTAGTTTAATTTAATTACCTCCATCCCATCATCACTCCAACCAGATGCAGATGAATGGTAACATGCCAGGCCTGGCTGCTAACAACATAATCTCCAATCAAATGCCAAATGTTGCTAACTTGCAGAATAATCTACAAAATGGTTGGCACACTTTATTCATGTTTCATTTTTTTTTCTCAATATTTGACTGTTAACCCAGTGGAATACTTTTCAGTGAATACATCTGTAACGTTTAATTTATTAATCCATTTTCTCAATACAGCCCAACTGCAACAGTTGTTTGTAGCTGCCCTGGCGACGACACAGATGTTCCAGAATAACCCATGTTTGTTTTAATTGTTATTTTTCTTTAATCTATATTGTTTTTAATACGCAATGATTATGATGACATAATGTTTCAGAAGCTAACAGGTCAATCAACTGATTCATTCTAACTATGTATAAATTCATTTAAATTCAAGGAATGAACATTATTTACATCAGTTAGTAATGACATTCTACTTATTGCTCTGTGAAACTTGTACAATTTTTCATGTTCTGACAACAGCTGGTCTGGCGGCATTGCTCTCAGGCACACCACAACAGCAACAACAGGCGATTGCTGCAGCAGCAACAGCTACTTCAGCGACCACGCCGCCGAACCAGATGCCAATGGCAGGGGGAGCTGGAGCAGGAGGGGGTGCAGGGGTAGCTGGAACTGCCTTCAGCCATCATCAGTCACCTTCCTTCCAACAGTCCATGGCTCAGGGTCTGTCCTCTGAAAGTGAAAATTATACCTGTTCGATCAATCAACCAATCAGACACACACACACACACACACACACCCAACAGTTCAGACACACACCACAAAACAGTTTCAAAATGATTAAGAGCCACATTATTCTATTACACATTTTTTAATTCATAATTTTCTAATTGGATTAGTTGTGAATTAATGGCTATTTTTCAATCTATTTAATCATTAATTCTCACCACCATTTCTATCATTCGCGTTATCAGAGTTGCAATTATGCTCAATCCATAGCCCAGTCCTTTTATTATAATGAATGTAAATTTCTATATGCTTGCCTCAATATCATTAACATTGTAAAACGATATAACATGAACTAATTATCGATTTTGAAACTACATATTCGTAACTTGACCTATTTAACTAGCCAATGCAATGATGAGTATGTTGGGCCAGTCATACGGCTCCGAGCTGCTGGCATCCTATGGACTTCAGAATGCTTTCGGTTTGTGTCATTTTAAAGAGAGAAAGAATTATTTTACTCTGTAGAAATGAAACTTATTATTTTGAATGAATAGTTTGATTAATTTTATGATTTGTATTTGATTGTATACCATATAACTTAAAGTATAAAATACATATAATACTACATTAATAATATGTATTAATTAATATAATAATTATGATAATATTTAATTTATGAACTTTTAGCCGCCTACAACCAACAAGAGACCAACTCTTCTAATTACTACCAGGCTCCATCTTCCAACCAGGCGAAAGGTAATTTCCCATTCACTTTTCATTTCTGAGTTTGCAAATTTCAAGTGTTTTTGCCATATTTTTAGTCTTTTTTTATTTTATGTTAATTATTTATAGATATTTGTACTGTATAAGTGATGAAATTATTAAATAGTTTTTTGTTATTCTTACATGTTTAGAGTATTTTTACATTACCTTGAAAATTTTTCACCATTTTTGTGTCACTTTGTTAAGCACCACCTTGAACATTTTCCCTTATAGGTCCAGACGGCTCAAACCTGTTCATCTATCATTTGCCATTGGAATACAGAGATGAAGATTTGTACCAAATGTTCAGACCATTCGGTAATGTCCTCTCCGCTACCGTCTTCATGGATAAGAAGAAAAATGAGAGCAAGTGCTTTGGTTAGTTTAGAGAGAGAGAGAGAGTCCGTTTGGGTTACTTTGGTTGCTAGTTTGAAATGATTATTTTCACTAATTATTATGTTTAATGATTATTTTTACTAATTATTATGTTTTTCATTTAGGGTTTGTTAGTTATGATTGCCAGACTTCAGCGGAACTCGCTATAAGGTCCATGAATGGATTCCAGGTTGGTTCAAAGAGGCTGAAGGTTTCCTTGAAAACCAATACAGCTAAGCCATATTGAAAAAATCAAATCTTGGGTGGGTATGTTACGTTGTACGTATGTAAATAGGTAATTATGTAATATATATTTGTTAAATTTTCAAGAATTTGTTACAAATTTATTGTTCTTATTTTAATTAATCGTTTTTCTGTTACATTTTTTTTTTTGTTATAGATGTCGTTTGTCATTTAGGGGAAGTCATTTCATTTGGTGTCTCGTTGTTTAGCTGCTGTTTTGCTGATGTGGACCTGTTCTGTTCGTCATCTTTGTCCAAATATACATTGTTATTTTAATTCTAAAGTTTTAATGATCAGATGAAAAAGTATTTTTTTATTTGATTGTGACATATTGACGGTGATTGATATGTTAGATATTTTGTAAGTATGTGCTTCTTCATTTGAGTTAATATAATGTTATGTTATAATGCTACGTCTAATGTATATTATCGTTGTTGGCGATGGTAATTTTTGAATTGCAATGTCTTTTAAATTTAATTTTACTATGAGAAATTTTTTGTCCTTGTAAAGTTGAAATTGTCAAGTGTTTGTTAAGAATTGTTTTATTTTGAATATTGTTATTGCATTGGTGTCGTCTTTTAAAATCTATCTTCATCTTGTGTCTAGAGAATTTTAATGTGTTATTTGTAAATGTAAGTCTCAGTGTAACGTTTGGTGATACAAAAATATTTTGAAAAATGTTGTCAATGTGTTTTTTTTTGCTTCAAGTTTGTCAGTTGCACTTTTTTGTTCAGTTGGGAAGGTGCGGCGCGTTAACTACTGTGAGCAAATGCGAATGCGCCTTTTATATTTACACCACAAGATGATGTACGGCACATCGCTGAGATCAATTCAAGTGCACATTTAGTCTCAACATTTTGAGCACTCTTGAATGACTTTTAAGTTCTTTCGCCACGTAAAACAGATTTTAGATGATAAGTTGCATATATATGTACTGCTACTAATGCTAGGTAGTAATACTGCCGCTAAAAAGTAATGGTTATGTGACAAAGATGCATGCGAATTTAATTAGTTTAGTTAGCTTAGCTTAGAAAGGGTTAGCACGTTAGCTCAGCCAGCAGGCGACAGCACTAACTATTTTTTAAAATTTAACCTTCAACGCTTGAACGAACCACGAAAACAAATTGAAAAAATATTAAATTAAACAAATAGCTAAAAAAAAGTTGATAATGGCAGTCGATGTCGTTGTTGTCGGTTCTTGTATGACGGATTTAATTAGGTTTGTCTTTAATTATTTTTGTTTTAAAAATTTAGTTTTGAAATTTATGCATCTCTCCATCATCTCTTAATGTGCCAGTTACGTTCCACGATTGCCTAAGCCTGGCGAGACTCTTCACGGGAATGCATTCAAAATGGGATTTGGTGGCAAGGGGGCCAACCAATGTGTGGCAGCTGCAAAGCTTGGAGCATCAGTGGCCATGGTGGGAAAAGTTGGAGATGACGTCTTTGGTCACAATTACATGAAGAACTTTGAACAGCATCAAGTTAACTGCGGTGTGTGTGTTGTATATAAAATAAATAATACATAGGTGGCTTATTTAAGTTTTGAAAACTTATATTTATTTGTAGTATGTGGTTTGGTGATTGGGAAGAAAATTTATAATAGCATTTAAATTATAAAAATTAATTTTCCAAATGGCATCCAATCAGATAACATGCATATGTCTTCTACCAGCTCAACTGGAATGGCTTCTATTTCTGTTGCTGAAGATGGTTAGTCACAGTTCATTTCTTCATTTTTAAACTGATCCAAAATTATTTTTTTGAATATAAAATGAGAATTCTCATTTATTTCAGGTGCAAATTCTATAGTAATTGTAGCTGGGGCTAACCTAGAATTGACTGAAGATGATATTATGAAAGCTGAACCAATTATTTCCAACTGCAAAGTGTTGATATGTCAACTGGAAATAAACCAGCAAGTCACACTGGCTGCATTGAAATTAGCAAAAAAGCATGGGGGTAGGTTGTGTTAAAATAATTGCAATTTATTCATTGGGAAGTTACAGCTGTCATTTTTTCATAATTTTTTGTGAAAATTTTCTTTATACAGTGTTCACCATTTTAAATCCTGCACCAGCGCCATCTACATTCAACACTGAACTTTTGAAATATACTGATATTGTCTGTCCAAATGAAACAGAATCAGAGATAATCACCAGCCATCCTATCACAAACATCGATGATGCCATAGAATCCTTGCATCACTTCTTTGAGTTAGGCTGTTTGGGCACTGTCATCATCACTCTGGGTGCTAAGGGATGTGTTTTCAGGTGCAAGTCTGAAGAGAATCATTTACATGTTGGCTGTACTCAAGTTTCTGCCACTGACACCACAGTAAGCAAATTTTTTTCATTTTTACTCTTTATTTTTTTATTTTTTTTTTTACCATGTTTTCATATGTTGATTTTGTGTTCTGATGAATTTTATAAATGCTAAAATCTAATTTTGTAAACAACTTTGATATTTCAATGCATTTTTCTTGCAGGGTGCGGGAGATGCTTTTGTTGGCACCTTAGCCTACTGTCTGACTCGAGGTATTCCATTAACAGTTGAACATCTTTCTATACTCGTGAGGATTTCTTGTGATGTGGCCACAGTAAGTGTGCAAAAGAAGGGAACTCAGGACAGTTATCCATGCTTTGATGAACTTTCTTTAGACATCCAAGAAAATTTCAAACTTCTTTAGTTCTAGTAATTCTAATAAATCTGGCTTTATTTCATCGTGATCATGCGCCTTTTGATGTTCGAAATTGGTCTCAGAATCGAGAAGTAAAAAAATTATGTTATGCGCTTCAGCATTTATCAGGCTCATGATGTATGCTGTACAAAATAAAACAACAACATTACTGAATAAGTCGCTCTCGAATTAAATTAATAAATAAATAGACTATTTGTTCTAATAAAATGTAATAATTTTTAATAATAATGAATCAGTGAACATGTTTTTCAAGTTAAAATGATCTAATTTTTTTTCTTATTCAATATTGAGCCAGTTGAACGTAATGTAACATTACATGGTAACCATAACAAGGAAATCAGCACAGCAACGTTTGTAAACAATACGTTGCTAAGGAGTTTTTTATTTTTCAACCATGCAATCTTAAAACAATTTCTTAAATATTTCTAGGTTTTGTACTAACATAATGCTTTTGCCGTGAAATATTCTCATTTTTGGATGAAAACAATAAAATATAATTTTGTTTCGCTTTTGTTTCGATTTATAATTTGCTGACACTAACAACATGGGGAAAAATATGAATTCAAACGCCCTAACCACTAGCAACGACTCAATCGAAGCCCCCTGCAACGGCGGGGGCAGTAGTGCGTTTAGATCGCTGTACGAGGATACTCGCAGACAGTTAAGAAGAGGAAACAACATTAAAAATTTACGTCGCGTTTCGGATGGGTACCCCACTGCCAACAACAACGTCAACAGTCTGGATTCCAAGTATTTTACCATTCACCACGACAGCAGTAACGGCGCTCTGATGTTTAAGAAACAACACAGTGATGCAATATACAGAAATTATGGCGAATCTATCCCTCAAGGGTTCGACCAGTTCAAGGACAAACTAACAAAAGGTCGTGCCCTAGATTATAGTAATAATGATGAGTACAAAACAGGGGCATACTCCATTAATAAAACTTCACAATTCAAAAGTAATTGCGACATTGAGACGGTTAGAAATGACGTCACCATCAACGAAGATGACGGTGGTGATGTTAGAATTAGTGAAAAATCGAGCAAACCGTCCATGCACAACGGCCTTAAACTTCAAAATATTAAAAATTCATCTGGAAATGTAGAAGAAATTTCAAATAAACGCAAATACAATTACTTAAGTGAGTCATACCCCTCTGTGAAAACTTTTAAAAATAGGCCGTGGTCTTTTAATTATGAAAATTACGATAAGTACGATGATTATTATGAGTTGTACCCTAACTTCGAGCTAGATAATGTTAGTAATAAACTGTACCAACAAAACAAGCCATTCAAAAACGACGACGATACTGATGATGACGACGATGATGAAGATGATTACAGTCATTGTAACAAAGGTAATAATGACGGAGATGGTGGTTACGCCATGGCAGATGACGAGAAAGAGAAAGATCATAGTGGTGGTGGTGAGGCTGGTGATGATAAAAGGTTTTTTCAGAAAAGCGACGCAAATTTAGTTAAGATAGAAAAAAGTCTTGGTAAATTTGATAGCGTAATCGATTGCAAGCATGCCAGCAACAAATTCAACGATAGAGAAAAATGGAACGATGACGACGACGACGACGATAATGAAACTTTCTATGATGATATCAGCGACAATGAAGATGAAGAAGATGATGATGAGAATAATGAAAGTGATGAAGATAAGGATAATGAGGAGGAAGACGATGATAATAATAATGACTATGAAGATATCTCGAAGTCTATTGACGTTGATGATTATGCCGAACTTTTAGCTGATAACATAAAACTCACTGATGATAACGACGATGATGATGATGAAGATGATGAGGATGAAAAAACCAGTACTGATGAGGAAGAAGATGACGACGACGACGATGATGACGACGACGATGATGACAGCAATGAAACAGTTGACTACATCAGCACAATGGATAATAAAGTTGGTTGCAATTATTTAAGTGATGGTGGCAGTAGTAGTTGTAGCAGCAGCAGCAGTAGTAGTAGTAGTAGTTTAGTTGTTTATCAGTAGTAGTATACTAGAGTTAGTAACCGTTGCCTTTTTTCTTATTAAACTAGTTGCTTCTTTAGAAGTATATAACTTGCATATTATGATCAAAATTAGCATACTAATATTGTTAGCAGTCGTAGCAGTAGCAGCAGTATAAGAAGCAACAGCAGCACTACTAGTCGTGGTTGTTTTAGCAGGTAGAAGTTGTTAGTAGTCTGTAGTAGTGCTATTATATCATTTTTTTGGTTAATTTTTCGGGATGATATTATTAAATTATGGTAAAAATAAATTAAATAGCTTCAATTTTTGACTTTAAAAGGTTCTTACGGGGTCTAGATCAAATGAAAATCTATACAATGGTAACAGCGGCATTAGAGGAATTAACAAGTATAAATGTTCAGGATTTTTGAGGTAGATTTTTTTAAACATTTTCTTGATGGCTAAAATGAATGAATGAATGAAAAAGTGGGTGAATGATTGAGTAAATGAATGTAAAAATGGGTGAATGATTGAGTAAACGAATATTTTATTGGGTGATTGAATGGAGGAGTGTTAGAATAAATGAATGGATAAAAGAATAGCTATTAAAATTTTGTATAAACTACTTCAAACGTCTGTTTTTGAAATGAACTTTTAAAAGCGCCAGGGAACCACCTTGCGCTAAAAAGAATCACACCGATCCACTTTCCAATACGATAAACTGCGCTAGGTTGGTTGAAAATGATGAAGAAGATTATTATGATACTATTATTATTATTATTATTGTTGTTGTTGTTGATATTGTTATTGGTATTGTTATCGTTATTTTGTTGTCGTTGTAGTTGCTTTAGTTATTAGTGGTAGTTTTAGCGTAGGCGTTATTGACATTTTCTAAATTGTATTTGAGAATGAAATCCATTTGTCTCTAGCCTCAAAATTCAGAAAGGTAAATTGATACCGGAGAAAAAGCAGCAGCAGAAAAAGCACCATCAACCTCAACACAAAGAAAATAAACAAACACATCAACGAACGCAACGACAAAAACAACGAAGGCAGCTGTCGCAACAGAATAAGCATTGCCTGCTCGTGAACCAAAGTAGTAACGATGTTGCCTCTTTATGTCTGTCTAACCACAATAACAGGTTACATTAACATCACATTAGCATTAAATTAACATTACATTAACATAAATTTGCATTAACAGTAAATTACGTTAAAAAAATCTTACAATGGGATTTTTTGCAATTTTAGCCACGAATAGAAAAAACATTTTTCAGATGTGTACAGCAACCACTTTGGAATGAACACCATCAGCTGGATTTCGTTGAGCCTCATCAGAGAAACATTTTACTAAAGCAACAACAGCAACATTCTCATTTAGATATAACCAGCATCACAGAACGACAACAACAGCAACAACAAAAACAGCAGCAGCAGCAGCAGCAGCAACGACAACAACCTCATTTTGAAGTAACTACTTTCACAAAGCAACAATTGCAGCAGCAGCAGCAACAACAAAAACAACAGTCTCAACTGCAAATAACCAGCTTTACAAAACAGCACCAGCCCCAACAGCATCATCTGGAAATTATCCCTATAGCCCAGCCTGACCAAAAATTTCAGCAACAGCTATCGATGATTGATAGTGATAATAATTTTGTTCAAGCTTCTCAGAATAATCTCGCTCATGCTTTAATAATTGGACAACAACTACTACCTCAACAGCAGCAGCAGCAGCAACAACAACAACATCAACAACAAATTAACGAGCAGCTAACACATGAAAACTCCGCGATGATATATCGTTTTCCACAAACGGATTTTCTAAATTTTCCAAATCATCAACTGCTTCCACAGCAACTACCACAGCAACAGCCACCACCACAACAGCAGCTTCAGCAGCAGCAGCAACCACAGCAGCTACAGCAGCAGCAACAAACAAATTTCTTTCGTGACCCTAACAGACTTTATTTTTCTAGCTTGCCCTTATCAAATGTTACAAATTTTTACCCAGCGTGCAACAATGCTGACAACAGCGATACGACAATCGCCAAAGTTAAGACGACGGCCGATAAATTTCCTCAACTCTTTCAGCAGCAACGAAATCAAAAGCACTTCATCTATCAGACCGTTGCACCACAACAAGATTGTCAGCAGCAACTACACATGCCACAGCCGCAACAACACATAACACAACAACAACAACAACAATCAAATATACAACTGCCGCAACAACATCCAATCATGCAGCAGCAACAACAACAGCAACAACAGCAACACAGTCTATTCTGGAATAATGATTTAAAAAAGTTTCAATTTGTTAGGCAGCCGAGATTGTATGAGCAGAGCATGGCAGAGTTGCACCAACCGGCTGAGAACGATCACCACAACAACAACGATGTTGACGACGACAAGAGCAGTAGAAAGTTGAAGGAAACCATCAGGAATGTTGAAGTCTCGGAGAAAAAGTTACAACAGTATAGACAACAGTCCAAACTTTTGAAGGATTCTAGATTTTATTTCTACAAACAACAGCAACCGGAGATGTCAAATTTAAATTGTTTGCCCACAAAACTCTGCGGCAATAATTTCTACAGTAAGAACAGCCAACCGTTGGACAATCGCTTTAAACTTCAACAGAATTCTGTTACTTTCAATTTCTCTGACAAGCCTTCTATCACAGAAACTGCCAGTGCCACAGAAACGTCAACTACTGCTATCAAATCGAAAGTCGACTCGTTACTCAAGAGCTTCAAAAAGCAGCAGAAGTTGCATCAATTACCACAAGACCAGTCTAAACTAGATACAACATTTAACTTTCAAGGAGAGTGCTTAAAGCATCTGACGGGTGATTTCAATCATCTTGATCCAGAAACTGAGGACGAAAATGTTGATGAGAATGTAGAGGATGTTGTCTGCTGCGTTAAAGAGGTTGTCGTGGTTGACGAAGACGACATTTTCAAAACTAACGAAGGCTTCACTGACGATAACAACGATGACGCTGCTAAGTTCT